TCCGGTATAAATTTTCGCTCAGATGATGACGTAGTACATGCAACGGAGAACGGGCAGGGTAACAGCTTCTTTGAAAGTGACATTAAAACCTTTAAACATTACTTTCAGAAAAAAAATATGATTTCACACATTGCTAAATTAATTGTTTTTCTCCTTAAAATGATAGAACTCATGGGTAGGAAATTAGTATGAGTAAAGTTGGAATTGAGACGACAGTAGAGAATAGCATTTTTGTCGAATATATTACTATGACAATGAATTATTGATCTAAACGAAAAGATGGAGGTCACAAAAATAAGTCAGGCATTTGGTCTTAGCCTGCGGCTATATGATTCCGAGTAACGGCTGTCTGAAGAAAGAATATTTGTGCTATTCAGTATTGATGGCAACCTGATTGGGTATATGGGTCTCCGTTATTGACACTTTAACAACTAGGACAAAGTCTATTGTCAGGATGGCGGAGTCAATGTCAACTTAATCATTGTATAAAACCCCTGGTGGTTTTATTCTTTTAGGAAATTTCATTAAACCTCACCTTTACGATTGACCATGATATCGAAGATGCACTCGAGTTTGAGTTGCATCTGTCGCAGGATGCACAAATAAGTGTTTGTCTGTTGTCAGTTCAATATGCAAGGGAAGCGCACGTTAGTTGTCTAGTGAATAGCATTTTTCAATTTTTAGAACTAGATACAGAAGAGCAAGAATTTTGTTTTGATATAATTTTGTAAAGTTCAAGAAATGTATTCGATTGAGCTGTTATACTATTGCTTGTTGGCTAAATATTTGACATCTCATTGTGATGGCAGTATGTAGCCTTCCCATTTTCAAAACTACAACAAATCATCTGCATTAAATGAAAATGAATCTTAAAAAAAAGTAAATAAAAAATGTTCTAATACAAGATATGTCTATATCGATTCATAATTTTCCAGCAGGGATTTGAGACAACAGCTCAAACACGTGATATTTTGCCCTGCGTTGTAGACATTGTTGTCGGGCGGTTTTCTATTGTTTCAATATTTAATCTATTAATAGGTTTTGCTTTAGATGCTATTGCTTTGTTAGAAATAATAGTTTTTGTCGATATATAGTAGTGGAACTAACGACATTTGCATCTGAAACTCACCTGGGCACGGGGTCCGGTCGGCCTTACGCAAATATGTTCCTTACTTGTAGCCCCTGTGTACGTAATAATGATATTTTAGCAAGAGTGTACTTATGTTTTACAAAACAGTAACGCATTACTGTACTTTTGTTAGAGGCATTCATTGCTTCTGATTTCAGTAAACAGCTTAGTTAACTGAAATATCCGATATTACAATCCTTTGTGGCTCTCGATATAAGGTTTCCACAGCATCAACATTAGATATCCTAAGAACGCTAACAAATTCCAGTTATATTGCTGCACCTTAAGTTTTTCCCACTAAATATCGGTTTACTGGAAACCAATACGACAAGCGCATTTGCACGCGCGTCAATTATACCACATTATTTAAAGCATGCATTGATTTAAAAAAATAACATTGCAAATGTTGGTACCGATTTTGAACAGCATTGGTCTAGATATTGGAGCTACATTTTGATGAGACATGTGGTCTTTCTATACCAAGATGAATGCCAATGCCAATGATGTGACATACTTTTTAAGGATTTGTCATGATTTGTCACATTTGTCTTAATTTGCAATCGGTATATAATCATTTGTCATAGCCTTTAATCATTTGTCATTATATGTCATCGTTTAATCGCCATTTGGTCATAATCTGTCGTAGTTTGTCGTCATTTTGCTCATATGCTTGTCGAATAGATAAGCATTGACAATCAGTAACTACTAGTACAGGATCGACAAACTTTTAACTGCTTATCGATCTTAGAATCTTTTAAGTGTCTGAGAGGAAGATCCAAAGGGGACCGGGCTTTTGGTGACCTGAGTATGTGATCTTAAGAGGAATTTAAACAGACATTAAAACCCAAGTTGATAGGGTGTTATACTGATAATGACAGGAACCCATATCAAATGACCCTTTGTTGTTTTTGGTTTTTTTGTTTCTAAAACGAAGCGTTATTTTTAGAATATAATCTCTGACGTAACACCAAATCTGTCTTTGCTTTACAGTAACAATCATTACCATAGTGACTCAACTTACCAACTGACGTAGTTTTAGGATAATCAAGTTAACTACAGATACAACCGTAAGTGCAATAAAAACTGTTTAATTTCGATAAGAATCGCTCCTTGTTGGAAAATAGTACGAGTCTCGTTTATAACCGCAAAGTGTACGTTAAATCTTACGTATAATTTTCGCAATTGAGATCTGTGTTCTAATCAGGTATTGGATACCCCAAAATTTGCGTATATAGTAACAGGGTGACAATTCAAACCTAGATGACAGTATCGAACGGTTCTGAAGCGGGCACCGCTTTCCAAAACGAAATGAAAAGTATGGATGTCGCTTGATGAACCTAAGAAAGCTTGTAAAATCGTTATTTGTTTCAATTGTCTTGAGTTGTAAATACCAAAAGTCGTTTCCTGTTGGATTTCAGAAGAGCTTGGTGGTATAATGGTTTAACGTTAATCAGAACAATTATCATTAAACATTACAGAGTGCAATGTGTGTCATTTCATAGCGCAGGAAATATTAAATTCATCCGAGGGCCAGTTTATGTTGTACATTTCGACTTCACTTTTACATTTACTACAAGTTTTGATTTATTTGTGTTGTTTTTCCTCCAATAATTTTGATCCTATGGATTATGCTCATTTGAGGTGGTTCAAAAAGCATTTTATCACGATGAATCGACCTAGTTGATATATAATGTCGTTATTATAGACTTGAGAGTGCAACATCTATACTATATTCAATGAGGTAAGGATGTCGAATTGTCCTACAGAGTACCCTTATTTTGACGACACTATACAGTATGTAAAATCAACGGATAATTAAATTGTCTTATAGCGGAAAAGCCTGAATGTTTTTTGTAAATACTATTTTTTGTCAGATGTGGACAGTATTAAACAATTATTAGACCACAAAGAATTGTACCTGCTCTCCCCATAGCATGATTCCTTCATGGCGACACAATTCCGGAATCTGGTCTTTGCTCGTCTTTTTAAACAACAACGTTTTTTCCTAATGTCTCCCTTGATACCATCTCACATTCACATTTGACTTTTAGTTGAGCGTTTTCCATTGTAAGAAAGCTTTGGGATCTGTCACCGGGCCGTCCTTTTTTTAATGGCGGGTTTTACTCCCCGCTAAACGCTCATCATTTTATAAATGTAACGACTGATTTTTTAGTTGTCAGTATAACGTGATCGAATGTGGTGTGTTGCTGGCGGCCTTCGCCGGTATACTTCAGTGTGGTAGCACTCGGCAGGCATCAATTCGCTATTTCAAAAAGAGGCTTACATGAGTATATCACAGCTTCACGAAACCATACGACACACTAAATACATGCACTCGCATTGCATAGATACGGAGACCAGTCTGAAATGGCCATAACATCTTATTAGACTTTAAAGAATATAAAGCCAGAAGACACTTTTGGTCAATGTTTACTTGCATTAATCTTAACATGTATGCCTACCACCTGACGATGCCGTACAATTAACATCATGGATAAAGTAAATAACATTACTTAATTGTTTATCTTTTAAGATTGTGGAAAGTAGACTGCCAGTTGTCCTCTCAAAGTTCTCATTAAACTGAGGGACACGTTTTAATTTATTTTGATTTTAAACATGTTCATTGCATTCTTATGAAATCCTTCACTATTGAAAATCATGAAACTCATTGAAATGAGGGTAAGTCTACCATTTCCGTCTAAGTGTCAAAACCAATAGTAACAGACGTCATAAACGGATTTTAGAAGGGAGAAAACGTTAATCATCCCCGTTCACCACTATAAACATGTGTGTGTTTTATACAATCATTTGTCGATTCTACTTTTTCTTCTTTGGGAAACATATATTATCATCACTATCAATGTATATTGCTTCTAAACGTTTGGTAAGCGTTATATGTCGAAAAATAAATAGCTAATGGGTCGTTTCAAGATTTGATGATGCAGTAAACTGGCGTGACCACGTGTTGTAAAAAGCGTTGAAACATTTCTGTTGAGCGTTGTGTTATAAAGAGTTCATATCGCTCCAGTGACAGAGTCTGTACTATTGATCAAAGCTTCATTGGCGTGGATACATTAACTGCACATTACGTTCTACCACGACGAGAGTTAAGCAACGGTTAACAGACACTATCGCCTGACAACAAAGTAATAACAGTGTGTGTTACTACAGGCACAAAAACCTTCACTATCATGACTGCCCAAAGGGCCATGCCAAGCCTCCAGGAAAATTGGCAGCAACACTTGCTGTCAAGCGTTAGTACGATAAACTGAGCTCTGTTTATTCGCTCCTCATTATTAATGCTTCGTACAGTGTAATACTTAAGTAAACAGTGTGACGTCGATGCATGGTCTGGATTTATACATTATGACACAAAAATGACACGTGCCCTTAGAAAAAGATAGGAACCTAAAAGAGTGGTAGATTGTGGGGAAATAATTGTCGTATTGGATATATCCAGTTATAACTCTTGGATTTACTCTTGTATCATCAGAGAGACTAGTCCATATACTCCTATAGCAGAGGTTGTTCTACGCTGTCTCTGTCTTGAACATACAGCAGTTAAGGTACCAGAAGTCACGGGGTCGATATCAGGAGAAGGATATCAATATCTACATGAACTAAGATACCCAAATTGCACAGTAAAATTTAAGTGTCGATTCAGTTTATCATGTGCAGAACGCCGATTGAATGACACAACATGAAATGTGAACTAGTTTGGACAGTGGCGGTAATTGCTTTTGTGCATAGCGGATTAGGAATTTAGCATTGTCTTTCATGATTCTCGCGTGCCAATCTATTCTGATTAGCAGTGATTACGTCTGTGAGACAATATCTTCACTCTGATCTGCTTCGTTTGTAATGAGCAGTTATGGAACGTTTCCATCATTTCAGTGTGAACACAAACACACGTCGCAAACACGTGTTTTGTGTTAAGTCATATTTCTCATTCATGTGCGTCTTTCTGTCCTTACTTTGCTCCACATTTGCTTCATCCGAGTGTGTTCAACGTGAGAAGATCTCAAATAACAGAATTTTACACGTATCGGAGATAACACTTCAAAAGTCGCGTCAGCTTTGTGGTGTATTACATACGGAAGTGAGAGTATTTGTACTTACAGAAGATTCGCAGAAGAACAGCAATGTCACAAGTGAGTGTATTTAATGATTTTTACATAAACATATTAAAGCGATATTTGTCGATAAATTATTTTAATTGTTGAATGGTATTTCAGAGAAACAAATTAAGTTATTACTATTAGAAAGAGGAATAACATCCTTATCACTACAAGAGCCTACGTGTTGAAATATGTTAAGTTTTTTCATAATTGTATGATTCAGAAATAAATAATATAATCTCATATCCTAAAAACGTATCAATTTTCCCCTGCAGTTCTGGGTGGTTTCTCCGATGTCTAAAGGTGTTTTTTTTCTTTCCTCTTTTGGTGTCCCTCTTGACATTGGCCCTCATTTAATCCTGGCTGTTGTGAGGATATGTATAAAAACAAAGCAAATATCATGACCAACGTTCGGGTAATTGTACATATACGTTCCTCATAGCTAAGGCCATAGACATGTCAACAATGCTATGATATTATTTAAATCCTGCGCGTATTAAATATGAACTTCAAATTATAGCTTCTTTTATATTGGTACTTCACAGCCTTAGTACATAATAATATACTTCCCGGCAATATCAAACATTTAGAGAACATGCGAGGCGATGTAGGGATAGAAAAGAGGAATAGCAAAATGATAACGAATATGCAATGTGGGTATTTTATACGATCCATATGATATATCAGTGGGGATAGTGTTGGAGCCATAAACTTAGATGATCAAAACTAAAATTGGATCGATAAATTGGTAATGTATTATATATTGCCTGCTAATTTTGCCTTGGTTCAAACTGGCCAAACAAAATTTTCGAAGATAATATAAAACCAAAGTTTGGCCGTTTTGCATTTCTGAGATAATATTTCAATATTATTTACATTTTTGCGGATCATTTGTTTCTTAGCCACGCGGTAATATGGATATGACCATTCAATGAAAACTTGAATCTTTTGAAGCCAGTCAGAAAAAAAACTAGAAAGTGAATTCCTTACACTCTAGAAGACATGCATGAAAGTTATAACCCCGAGAGAAGTATTTGACTGAAGATCTCACATTTGATATAGTTTGGTTTGTCAAAATGATAGAATAATGAAAGTGATTATTAACTAAAAAAATGTAATAAGACAATCTGAACATTGACACCAACGACCTTGAATTAGTAGACAATAACACTTATGCCGATGCCAAACTTTTAAAATTATGCTGATTAAGGATAAGTTACTGAACACACCAATTGTTCACAATAATGAAATAGTGCAGTTACATCCCTAAACAGTTAATTGCTGAACAGGATATGTCATAGCATGTTGCGTTTCTGAATTTTTATATGTATCAAGTTTGGAATTGATTTTTACGTTAATTCAACTTTAGATGTAACCAGGTGCAATAAGTTTCAATCATATTAACACTCGTTGTTTTACGTACATCAATTCTACATCTCGTTTTGATCAAATACTTGTCCACAGATCTTTCACATTTCAACCGATTCCTTTCAGACTTGTAAGTTTTATACACCATAGAAAGACGTTGCATTTTCGGAGCAGCCATTTTATTGACTACATGTGAAAGAGTTACTGTCTCATCGTTATTTATGATGTCTCTATTTTCCGGATATTTCTATATTTTCAATTTTGTTGTATTCAAACTCGATAGGCTTTTAATTTGACTATATTTGGAGTAGTAACAGCCCATTTATTTATTTCTTAATGTCAATATTGTCCTGAGGTCGCCTCTCTCATTTCCTTTCAATTTGGAATGGTTTGATCACCATATTATGAAGTCGTGTTTCCCTGATCGGCGGTTTAAATTGATAGTATTTGGGTGAGTAACTGCCCCCAGTTGTTTTTAAAAGTTGATGTTGCCTAAGGTCGTCTCTCTTACATGTATTTTTAATTAAATTCCTCCCTATATATAGGCGTAATGACCGTTAAATCAGACTGTTTTCCTTCATTTCATAGTGTTATGGCTGTTTACTTCTTTGATATATCAATTTGTCATTGTCTACATATCTCCTTATTCGGTGCTTCTCAACGGAAAATGCTTTATTTGATTCTTTGATCCTAACAAACTGGATTCATTCAAATCCTCGACATGGATACCTCTCGTAAATCCAAAATTGAATACCGACTTCAGGATCTATATTACAATAAGACTATTCGGTACAGAGGGTTGATGAACTTACACCATAACGTCGATTCCTCTGTCAACATTTTGTGATACAACTATTCATGAACGACTGGGTGCAGTTTATCTAAATTAGGTCAGAAGAGTCGTTGTGTTTACTGCAATAGACGTCTTAAATTTGTAGTATAAGTCAACGGGGCTGGGAGTCATTGCCTATAAATGATAAGTCAAAATGTCTCCTCGAGGGACAGAGTGGCGGAAGGCAAGAAATGCAATAGGTGAAACAAAGGTAAACATTCAACTCTCTTCTTGAGTTTGGATAATTTATTGTGACAAGTCTGAGATAATTCTCAATGAAATATCAAGACTAGTTTTATTTTCAAAGAATATGCACCAAGCGTATGCAATTTATCCAATGTCAGATAAGAAACTTAACTAGGTCTCTTAATTAACTAAAATAAATAAAACACTTTGATGTAAAAGTCAAATACTAAAGAAGCCAAATGGTGTGTTTTAATGTTAAACTTAAGGACTTATTTCAAATATATGAATACTACATTTGAAGATTACATCTTTATGAAACAAAAAGGTAAAGTTAACCTTTATATGGGTCTAAAGTTGGTATCGAATTTCCAAGAAATTCTTTAGAAAAGGGTTATTTCATAATTATCTTATCTAGCTTCAAAATTATGTACTTTTGAACCCGAATTTCCTCGAATAATTACTCCTTTCTTCATTTTACATATTTCCACTTGCGTCTGCTTGCTCTTGCATTGCGTTTTAGAGGCACAACTTCATTAAATGGGAATTATGGTTCAGACCACGTGTAATACTCTTAGAAAATGAAATAATTACTTGTGGATAGATACATATCTGTTAAAATATATTCAATAATTGCATTAAGCCAAAATGAAAAAGTAGAGCTTTCTCTCGATATCAAATACATGTAATTTGATAATAATGACTCTTTTAAGGCAATGCAAATAATAAATAGGTTTGTATGAATGTGTAGATTTGTATAGTTGGACATTGTTACGCGACTTGCGAAAGAAGACAATTTATGACTTGTGTCGTACTCAGGCCACAAACTTTCGATCTAAGACAGACAATCGCCTATCAGTACACCACGACATCCTCTTTGAAAGTCTTGTAAATGCATTTATTACGTGTTATGGACAGCCAATTTAAACTTGAAACCTTCCTATCAGATTACATGACTTTGATACATTGTTAATATGTATAATTATCCACATGGTAACATGCTTCCAAAATGATAACGGAGCTGTTAAAAGCACGTAAACTAAAGGGCTAAGAAACTGAAACGTTCTGCAGGATATATTTGATACGTGTGTAAATGAATCAAATGGTTTCCAGCATTTTTCATGTTGAATTATCACTTGGAATATATATGACATCAAAAGTTAATTTACTTCTGAAGGTTAAAATGAAATCCGAGTGGACTAGTATATATCGAGTATTTGCTGTAGAAGGAAAAAAAAACAATTTGACGTGTTAAATGCGCATGATTATAACAAGACGTTATGTGTTTACCAAATTATGCTTCTCCTCTCTCACAAATGGCGTCTTCCACATATCCCTGGGGCAGCCGATGATCTGTTGCTAGGCAACCTTCTTGACAAGACAGCTGCCGACATCATTAAAACGTTATGAATAGATAGAAAATCGCAGGAATCAGCAGCTGGGAGATATTTGAAGATATTGCAGCAATATTAAAATCTTAACATTTTTTTAGTTATTTAGATTTCCTAGGTTGTATCAAAACGGAATTCAACAATAATTGGGCACATAAAAAAAGTGAAGTTTATTAAGAGTGGTATACCACAACACATCCATATTACATATTGACCTCAGAATAGCAATTCCTCACCGCAAACACGTTCCGGTCAGGTCAGGATTGGTTGCCGTCTGTTTCAGAACTTCTGAATAGGGTCTGTTGGATTCGACAGCATACTAGTATGAGGAGACTAGTAATGTCCTTTGTAAAGAATCTCTTGCTTTATTTCGAGTCTTCTACCAATGAGACGTGTAATAGGTAAAAATTATCAATCTTAAACCCTAAATTTTTGCATTTAGATTCTTTATTTTTATTCCGTTCTTTTCTGCTGTGTCTTTCTATGATAGTTATCACTCTTTGTGAACCCTTTTATATAATGAACACAGAAAGAACATTTCACTTTGAATATCAAATTCAATAAAACTGAAAAAATAAAGGACTTTCTAAGAAAATGGTATGGCACTCTCCTCAAACTCCTTAATCATGAAGGGAGGCGACGTTGATTCCTATTTTGAAACCTGTGTATTAACAGATTATCACCCTTTCTAATTCGATAAAACTCGTGCGGTGTCCATAACAGTTTGCTCACACGTTTGAATTTAATTTTGATTTTGTTAACAAACCCCTCCACTACAGAGAGGGTTTAGATTTTGAAAATACATCTGAATATCTAATAAAGCTCTCGAAAATGCAATTCAGCTATCGCTTATTTTAATAATAATAATATGCAATATTTGTATAGCGCTCTATACTGTCAAACAAATCAGCTCTAAATCGCTTTATAAGCCATGTTTAAAAAAATTATCTATATTATGAAACTATACAAAATACATCATATATACATCTATGATGATACAAATAAGTATTGGGTAAGTTTCGGAAGAGTCAAATACTAATTAAAACACTATTTACACATCAGATGCACGTGTGAAGAGATGCGTTTCAGTCTGGATTTGAATACTGTCAGTGAGTCACAGTTATGCAAGTGGCAAGGTAGATCAATCTGCAACTTTCCTGACGAGTGAAAAAAACAGCGGACATGTACCGTATGTAGCAGTTCTTGTTTTAGGGACAGTCAGTATATCACTAGACTGTGATCACAGTGTCCTTGATGGGACATATGAAACGATCAATTCTTTCAAATAGTCAGAAAAGGGTCCATGTAGGACATTGTAAACATATACTAGAAATTTATATCGGCATCGGAACTCTACAGGCAACCAATGAAGTGACACAAGCACCGGTTTAATGTGGTCTCCCTTCTTTGTTCTAGTCACAAGTCGAGCTGCAGCATTTTGAACCTTTTGTAGTTTTTTTTTTCAACAGTGATTTCGGAATACCATACAGAATTGCATTGCCATAATCCAAACGTGATGTCACAAGAGAATAAACAAGTGTCTTGCAGGCGTCTGACGTTAGATATTGACGAATACATCCGATGATGTGAATTTGACAATGACATTAACTTGTTGTTCCATTGTCAAAGAGCGGTCAAAGTGCACACCAAAGTTTTTCACAACTGGTGCTGGCGTAATTGCACTGCTGCCAACAGTGAGCTGAGAGCTTTGACATTTTCTTTGCTGACTCGTAGGTGTAAACACAATTACTTCTGTCTTGTCCTGATTTAATTTAAGTAAGTTGCATTTCATTCAACTGTTGATATCTGAAACACACAATTCAAGTTTGAATGACATACCTTTCCAATCCCTAGAAGGTTTTAGAATCATATGTGCCCGAGTGTCGTCAGTATAGCAATAGAATGAAAGACCATGTTTACGACAAATATCACTAACTGGTTTAGAAAACAGGCAGTACATTCTCGGGCCCAGAACTTAACCTTGTGGTACGCCGAAATCCACAATTTCCTTGTTCGATGTGATACTTCCGCTTCACACCATATGTGAACGATAAAGCTTTGTCTTGGATGCTGTCCTACTTATCAGATAGAGAGCAATGTGTTGCAATCGAAAGTATCTCATCGAACAAGGAAAACTTCCAAAAAAATTAAACTAATTTCTAATCCACCAGAAAATTTAAATTGAAGGAAACAGATTGTCGATGATGGCTGTCAGGAAAAGCGTACTTCATGGGAACATACTCCCAGCCAGTCTGATGATGTTCTGCCCTAAACGTCGGAGGATTAACGTAAACATATAGCAAAATAAAAAACAGAAAAGAAAATTGTGTAAATCCTGAAGCACGAAGTTTAAAACGTGAACAAAATGAAGTTCGCTGTAGTAGGCGTCTGCTCCTTCATCGACTACCCCGGCCATGTAAATCTTGGTCAATCCGAGTGAGTAATGTCGCGTTCTCAAAGAAGAACAATGTATACAATGAGATCACTATGATGACCGTAAAACTTCACCTTAATGTTCATAAACCTGCACCTATTGAACCTTTGAATTGCAAGTTTGTCCGTCTGTCGACGACCTTGTGCACGAAAATTATGATAATAGGAACAGGTCCGTCAAATCAAATGCGAAATACAAACACTAAAGGTAGGAGACGCAGTGATGTTGCTATCTAGATAGGGATAATTAAAAATAGGGAAAATGAAATCACCACGCATCAAGGTTGAAATCTGTACGTGTTGGTTACATTGTAGGGAAAATCGAGATAAGTAGCTGATGTAGAAGAGTTTGTTGTGTCTTTAATTTCCAGTTCTACATAGCATATACAATTGACGTGGTCAATACATTTCTTGTTATTTAGAAACGAGACGTTATCAAAATATCTGAATGTGAAATTTAACGACTTTTCAAGGTCATTGTAACTAGTTTTGATAAGTTTTTTTTTTCCATGAATTAACTCTCGTTTGAAAAAAAGTCAATTTACTTAGTTAACATAGGTATGCCAATAGTTTGTTGGAGGATCTCAATACAAAAGGTGAACCTTAATTCGAAATTAAACAAATATCTATTTAGTATTTCTCAAAAAAGTAGCAATACCAAATTTTCATTGTCAGTATCAGAAATGATCCCATGTCAGCTATGTTTTTGTTTTGATGTTCAGTCATAAATCTAACGGATAAACGATCTCTATGATGTAACAATGTGTAAGCATTCCTCAATCAATACCATTAATTAAACCCCATCAAACCTTAAACAACGACTTAATTGACAATACATTTAAATATGAATTTAATATGTTGACAATAATTGCCATATTTCTTTAGGTCAGTCTCAAAATGAGACGAAACACAACTAGAAACCAAGGGGAACCTACTTTTGGAATTTGGAAATAGTCAATGGATTACATTTAGAAAGTAGCAATTACAAGAATTGCTAAAGACTGAAGGACTACAGAAGAATGGTGAATCGAACAGCTCGTCATGATATGATGGTGGACTAAACAGATGTGAATTACAGTCATTTTGCTCGAGTTAAAAGAATCAAACTACTTAGATATTTCTTTAATCTGCCCGTACGGTCATGAAATACAGCGATATGAAAAACGTATCAACAGATGACGAGGCCTGTCTAGGTCCATATAAAATCTTCGATGAATTATCTGCGTCGAGATTTTGTTCAAGTATACTATCTTATCCTTACGGCAAACTGTTTAAAAAGTCGGAACTAAAGTATCGTTTAATAATATATAGATATAGCAAAGTAGAAAGAACGAACTGCTATTAAGAATTAGTAATGACAAAAGGATGATAGCATTCTTGATGTAGAAAGTGAGAAAATGTCTTAAATATTTTTTGTAACTGCCTAACAATTACACCACCATTAATGGTTAGGTGGTCTGGAATTACTTGGATAAATGACTTGGTGTGGCAGATAGTGAGATCGAGGCCCGGACAGGACACGAATAAAAACTTGTCTTCCAACGTTCATTGTGATAAAATGTCCAAAATATCAATGAATTAACATAATGCATCATATACAGTGATGTCGTTGATCCGAAGGTTTCAGATGTAAGTTGCCTGTCGTAATTGTACCCGAGCTTGATATATGTATACACATGTATTTCGTTATTTTTCTATTTTTCTTTTTTTCTTTTTTTGCGAGATCGTATGATTGATACGTTTTTTCAGGTATGATAACATCATTGCTTTATATCTAAATCATTTTCTTTTTTTTTTAACAGCTGTGCTTTTTTGTCCATCCACTGAAGTGCCGGAAATCACTGTCGCATTTCAACGAAAACTCATTAGCCTCAGTTTGAGTGAAAATGATGGAACAATAACCGTCTCCCGTCTTCCAAGCAATTCTGTCCAAATCCATGTCAACCCGAAAACCTCTCCATTAACCGTCCTTCCACAAGTATATGTACAGCTGATGAGACTTCCTAACAAACTCAACCTAGGAAGGTATAACACCCATGTAAAGAGATATATCTACAGTTGTGGTAAAGCACAACACACCAAAAACATCGTGCGCATATCGTGAAAAATCATGCGCATATCGTGTAAACTGTACATATTTTTGAATTTTTTTTTTAAAAAGGCTTCTCATTCCAGCAACAGGTAAGGTGATGTTGATCTTACCCATGTATCAAGGTTATCTTACAGTATAATCTTACTCTTATGTCGTTATCCCTGATCATGTCTTTTACTTTGGAGATTTCACCGCATGAAACAGAAACACATACCGTTATCCAGAGAACATTTCGTTCGGCAAAGTAAGCAAAGAAACGTATCAAGGGCGCTGAACTGAATGATTAGCTTACTGATAAATCCGTACTTTTCTTTTTGTTTCGAGACTTCTTTACAATATCAAAGACTTGATGAAGCAATGTTGTGATTAAGTTGTTTGTCATTTATTCTTGGATTTGATTGGTTGTATGGCTATGCTCTTTGTCTTTGTTATTAAACTTAGCATAACTATTGTTCATACAAAAAAGTTTAAAATTAACAAATCTGGTGTCACGGTAGCAGTAGCATATCGTAGTTATAAATGCTATCATGCCAACTGGTCCACGTTAATGTCACTTTGATATGTTCGAATTCGATGTTATCCGAGAGTAGCGTATTGAGGTTGCTGTCATTATGGCGGGACCGGGTGAAGTATCATACGTATGAGTCAATGCTATGTTTGTCGGTATAATTTGATCGGTTAAAGTATTAAAAAAGTGATGCATGTCAAGTTTACTGTCAGAATACTTAACCGATTAAGAACGATGATATGCATATATTATTTTGAGTATAACGGAACAACATCATGACATACCTAGAAGTCATGATAGCCAGGTTACAAAACATGACCTTGCTTGGTGTCATGCTAACGTGTCTAGGTAAATGTCAGTGTACCGTGACCTGGCCGGGTGTCATGCTAACGTGTCTAGGTCAATGCCAGTATACCGTGACCTGGCTAGGTAATGGTAAGTATACCGTGACCTGACCGGTTGTCATGCTAAATTGTCTAGGTAAATGTCAGTATACCGTGACCTGGCCGGGTGTCATGCTAGTATATCTAGGTAAATGTCAGCATACCGTGACCTGGCCGGGTGTCATGCTAGTGTATCTAGGTAAATGTCAGCAAACCGTGACCTGGCCGGGTGTCATGCTAACGTGTCTAGGTCAATGTCAGTATACCGTGATCTGGCCGGGTGTCATGCTAACGTGTCTAGGTCAATGTCAGTATACCGTGACCTGGCCGAGTGTCATGCTAACGTGTCTAGGTCATTGTCAGTATACCGTGACCAGGCCGGGTGTCATGCTAATGTATTTAGGTAAATGTCAGCATACCGTGACCTGGCCGGGTGCCATGCTAACGTGTCTAGGTAAATGTCAGCATACTGTGACCTGACCAGTTGTCATTCTAAACTGTCTAGGTCAATGCCAGTATACCGTGACCTGGCTAGGTAATGGTAAGTATACCGTGACCTGACCGGTTGTCATGCTAAATTGTCTCGGTAAATGTCAGCAAACCGTGACCTGGCCGGATGTCATGCTAGTGTATCTAGGTAAATGTCAGCATACCGTGACCTGGCCGGGTGTCATACTAACGTGTCGAGGTAAATGCCAGTATACCGTGACCTGGCCGGGTGTCATGCTAACGTGTCTAGGTCAATGCCAGCATACCGTGACCTGGCCGGGTGTCATGCTAATGTATTTAGGTAAATGTCAGTATATCGTGACCTGGCCGGGTGCCATGCTAACGTGTCTAGGTAAATGTCAGCATACTGTGACCTGACCAGTTGTCATTCTAAACTGTCTAGGTAAATGTCTGTATACCGTGACCTGGCCGGGTGCCATGCTAACGTGTCTAGGTAAATGTCAGCATACTGTGACCTGACCAGTTGTCATTCTAAACTGTCTAGGTAAATGTCAGCATACTGTGACCTGGCCGGGTGTCATGCTAGTGTATCTAGGTAAATGTCAGCAAACCGTGACATAACCAGGTGTCATGCTAACGTGTCTAGGTCAATGTCTGTATACCGTGACCTGGCCGGATGTCATGCTAACGTGTTGAGGTCAATGCCATTATACCGTGACCTGGCCGGGTGTCATACTAACGTGTCGAGGTAAATGTCAGTATACCGTGACCTGGCCGGGTGTCATGCTAATGTATTTAGGTAAATGTCAGTATATCGTGACCTGGCCGGGTGCCATGCTAACGTGTCTAGGTAAATGTCTGTATACCGTGACCTGACCAGTTGTCATGCTAAATGGTCTAGGTAAATGTCAGCAAACCGTGACCTGGCCGGGTGTCATGCATACTTGTCTTGGTTTATGTCAGTATACCGTCACCTGGCCGGGTGTCATGCTAGCGTATCTAGGTAAATGTCAGTATACCGTGACCTGGCCGGGTGTCATGCTAACGTGTCTAGGTAAATGCCAGCAAACCGTGACCTGGCCGGGTGTCATGCATACTTGTCTTGGTTTATGTCAGTATACCGTCACCTGGCCGGGTGTCATGCTAATGGTAAATGTCAGTATACCGTGACCTGGCCGGGTGTCATGCTAACGTGTCTAGGTCAATGCCAGCATACCGTGACCTGGCTAGGTAATGGTAAGTATACCGTGACCTGACCGGTTGTCATGCTAAATTGGCTAGGTAAATGTTAGCAAACCTTGACCTGGCCGGGTGTCATGCTAGTGTATCTAGGTAAATGTCAGCATACCGTGACCTGGCCGGGTGTCAAGCTAGTGTATCTAGGTAAATGTCAGCAAACCGTGACCTGGCCAGGTGTCATGCTAACGTGTCTAGGTCAATGTCAGTTTACCGTGACCTGGCCGGGTGTCATGCTAACGTGTCTAGGTAAATGTCAGCAAACCGTGACATGGCCAGGTGTCATGCTAACGTGTCTAGGTCAATGTCTGTATACCGTGACCTGGCCGGGTGTCATGCTAACGTGTCTAGGTAAATGTCAGTATACCGTGACCTGGCCGGGTGTCATGCTAACGTGTCTAGGTAAATTCCAGTATACCGAGACCTGGATAGGTAAATGTCAGTATACCGTGATCTGGCCGGATGTCATTGTTTGTTTACCGTGACCTGGCGGGTATTGTTGTATGCATACGTGACCTGCCGTGTGTCATTGTCAGTATGCCGTGACCTGGCGGGTGTTATTGGTTTAAGATGTCCTCGAGTAGAATATATGGAAGAAAATGCTCTCCATTGGCGAGGTCTTAAATTTGAAAATGCATAATTTGAAATGATTGACAACAACTGTTTATATCTGTAGATATATTGTGTTATCTGCAGGATGTATGCGCAGTGTGGTGATTCCCTGGATTCAATGGAAGATTTTGAGCTACGATTTCAAGGTAATGTTCATTATAAGTAAAAGTTGTATACTTAAAACGCTTTCAATAGTATCACATTCCCTCATAAAAAGTCAATTATTTGCATCCATAAATAAACATCAGTTCAAACAAAACAAAAGGTAATTGGCGATGTTTCCTAAGATTTGAAACCTTTCTGTTTTGTGACATATGAATATATGAACAAAAGAAACAATTACACGGAATATCCTAAATGAGTACAAGGGGAAATACTAGGGTCAAGATGACCTTTGTCCATTGTGCTTCGTCGGTCATGCATAAACTTTAGAGCAACTCCTTCTTAACAAACAAAAAGACATGGCTATTTATATCAATTCTGTAACGAGATTAATGACAGGCTGCCAAATTCGTTCAAATGATTGACCATGACTTAAATTCAAGGTCACCGGGGTCAAATGTTTTAGGAATTGAAAATTTTATTCAAAAACTATTAAGTGTTGGATCACGGTGTTTGCGCAGTTGTTTGCTTCAGGATCAGAATTTCAAATTTGCAGAAATTGACTTTATCAGGTGAGATGAAGAACAAGTGAGCTAAAGGATAAATTGGTTATTAATTAACTTGAACATGGAGTTATAGATCGAGTTGTAGATATTACAGGGGTTCACTTAATGATGAACTCTCACTTAGTTTCCTGGACATCACAATTAAAACAGTGTGACTTTTGAGCCAATCAGAGATCCACGTGATGTTATGACACGTCTAGTCATGGCACTGTTCACTAGTCAGTGTTATAACGCTGATAACACACGCTATATGATTAATTATGGTAGCATATTCTAATAAACCTTTGAAATACTCAAAGTATATATTTTTGTTGTACACAAACATCTGTAATGTACACTCTAGGACATCAACTTTCACATTATAATATACCTTTTGAAGTTTTGGCGTTTTGAAATGTATACCAACCAAAATGCTCGTATTGTAATATACTGTCACATGGATGTTTAAGATCATTCCAAAGAAAACTGGTGTTTCATTATTTATTTTGCAAAGAATCGTAAATAACTACAAAATACCAATAACAAATTATCAGTGTATTACAAGACAAGTTACATTACAACACAAGCATAGAGCCACGACAAACGATACATTGCTATGTTATATTACAACACACATAGAGATAGAGCCACGTGATACAACACATAAACACGTTATATTACAACACACACAGAGATAGAGCCACGTAATACAACACATAAACACGTTATATTACAATACACAGAGATAGAACCATGTGATACGATACATAAACACGTTATATTGCAATACACACAGAGATAGAGTCACGTGATGCGATACATAAACACGTTATATTACAATACACGCAGAGATAGAACCACTAGATACGATAGATAAACACGTTATATTTCAATACACGCAGCGAAAGAGCCACGCGATACAATACATAAACACGTCATATTACACACAGAGATAGAACCACGTGATACAATACATAAACACGTTATATTACAATACACAAAGAGATGAAACCACTCGTTACAATTTATAAGTATCTTATTTTACAACACCCTATGAGATATAGCCACGCGATACAATACACGAACACGTTGTGTGACAATAAATACGGAGATAGCGCCACACGATACGATACATAAATACGTGATATTACAATTCACACACAGAGATAGCGCCATGTGAAACGATACATACATGGAACAATTATGCCAATAAGACATAAAACGTCGACTGTTGTGGCATACCTGACTCATCCTGGATATGCCAGATGCTAGACTGTATGCTGGGAGAGGTTCACTCACAAAAAATTCGGCATATGAGAAGTTAAACGCCGCTATTTGATAGCGTAGCATTTGTCTTTCAAATTGTGTGTTGTAATGCTTTAAACAAAATAAATATATCACTCAGAACACAAAATATAAAATAGAAAAAAACATAAATTGATATTTATCATAATGTTATATAGATGTCGTCAACAGTTCTGGTCTAGATAATTTTGTTCCTGAATTCTAAGACTAAAAATGCCGGTCTCAGCTGTGACATCAGAAAGTATCTTAAAGCGTTGTAGTTACACATTAAACCAAAAATCACTTGTTTTCTGCCAGAAGCATGGTCACCAAAGGAGTTGTTGTGAGAAAAGTTAAAAAAAGATATAAAGATCATTGATAAATCTATTCACAGTATGTAGTTCTATTCAAACCGACCCACATTTTGCTTAACAATAATATTTCTGATGCATATTCTCATATTTCAATGCAGGAAAGCTCTTAAAAATAAGAGAAATTAAAATCATATCCCATTTTTTGTGTAAACGTTCCCCTTTCGAAATGTTCCGGTCAATTTGATTAAAGTGAAGGTCTTAATTATCGCTCCTTCAATGTACACATGGAATCTAACAACATCCCATTAACGACCATGTTCTGAATATTCAATTTTTCATGGGTGATACGATATTCCGACACTGCTACGTGACACTGTGTCATTTTTGAAAATCTTTTTATTCTATAATCTGATTAACGTACTTATCCTAATTCTCCCTCCTACACGGATAGTGACGGAGTAAACATCATGGTCTGTATTTTGATTAGGACGTCGTGTATATTTATGTAAACTTTCTCATTCCTGATCATTTATAATGAGAAGAAATAGCGAAAACATATTTACTATATAATAAGCATAATTAAAAAAAAAAAACGCTTACCCTTATTCATTTCAGAAAAAAATAAGAAAGTTATGCCCAAACTCACAGCGCCAATCAATTCACAACGTTTTGAACGTGATACATCCAGTGCCGATAAGCCAAACATCACCGGTAAGTGTATAATATATCTGTATATACTTAGTGCATGGTAATTAAAAATGAAATTAGAGATATCTCGTTTTTAACGTACATTTGCATTCCTTTGATTACAATGAATGGTATGTTTATAATAACGCTTACCCCACTCCTCAAGCATATGATCAGTATCGGTGAGTATCACTTTAATTAACCTATGGACAACAATAATTCAGTTGAGTCATTTTTAATGATATTTTATATAGGGGAGGGGGTGCGGATACCCCCGCCCCCCTTGACATTACAATAGCCAAAATTTAGTGTACTTTCTCTGGCAATATCTCTCTTCTATATTTTGTAGAGTTACCTTTGAGTAACGTTCAAAGAAAAAATTTTTTTTCTGCATTATAATAACATCTAAGCAATAAGTGAATAGCATATCAAGACCCGGATGGTTGACGCATTGGTTATCTGATTATTTTACGAATTCTGCTATTAACCATATATCTATTTCAATCATATGATTAACGATTAGTATATGTATGTAAAGGCTGTATAATTCTGTAGCCGGTTCAAATTTATATTTCATTAGCAAAAACATTTTTTTTTATAATAGGAACGGTATTATATATTCTATTTCCAAAATCAGTTAAGAGAAATTAAATCCTGATGACATAGACCGAAAATTTAAAACATAAGAACTTAAATGGTTATTTGAACAAATTATCATAAGTTTAGAATAAAGCATGTTTCGCGAAATATGAAGGTAACCATTTAGCGCCATAAAGATTAAACATTAATTAGAGTCTCTAAATGAGTATATATGAAACATGTTCATGTACCTTTAAACCAGCGAATACATATCGCACATTATGCGTAAATCGGACGGCCATCACTCGTTGCTTGAATTGGCTTAATTCCCGTTGTTTGAGTCTTTGAAGAACTGCTAAGAATATATTGACATAATAACACTGTCTTACTTCAAACTCAAGTTTAACAGAATTAAGACAAAGTAAAACAACAGAAAGATTTACACGGAGATTCCTGAAAACGTAAACGCAGAATAAGACTAGGTAAGTAAGTGTCTATGCTTCATCGAAGACACACACCATGCAAATCTTCGGCAATCCAAACACTAATGTCACATTCCCAAATGGGAACAAGGTATACTACAACGGAACCAATCGCCTAATCAGCAAGCATTAAAAATGTTCAGCTTCAAATCGCACAAAGAAATAGGATATTTCTCGAAGACATCACAAGACGACCGTAAAACTTCCCACTAACTTTAACCAATCTGCATCCCTCGAAATCCTGTGTTGTGAGTTTAATGCTGTTGCATCAGTCATATCAAGTATTCAGCAGGCCACTTCAATTCTTAATTGAAACGTCTTTTAGACCGAATGTTCATATTACTAAACGAAATATGAGAAAAAGATATGCATAGCTTTGCAAGACGTAAGTACTACATTTTCGATATTTTTCTTTATTTCTAGTTAACTATTTGTTTCGTTATATCTTCCTTGTCACTGCCTAATTTTGGCGGTCTTTAGTTGTATATTCACTCGTCCTCTCTATACTCATCTCTTAACAATAACTCCAACACATGACTGCCGCTAGCCAGTAGTGGACAATAGAGTGTCACCCGGCGTTTATTACGAAATATAAAGACAAAAATACATATCTTTACAAACTTGGACATTTTTCATAACTCCACAAACGACTCTTACACACGCATACATTCCGCCCAGGAATAGCTTGAGTAGATAAAGAGCTAAGCGAGCCACTCAACCTGAAAACCTATCAGGAAAACAGGAAGTGTACCAACCCTCAATGCTTAAAGCTCAGCGCGTTGGATTTTTAACAACTCAAAGCCATTCCGTACTGAAATAAATACAGTTAAAAATGTAATACTTGGCAACATTTTTCTTGACTGTACTTGTGGCTAGAATGCCCGATACCTCGCCTACCCTTACACACTTTCTTGACTTGCACGTGCGGACAACGCGTCGCACTCCCATTGGACCATACAACTCTCACGAAGATACCCGAATACCGTACCTATAGGACAATTATTTTCCGCTATTCTCCGAAACGCGGAAAATATGAAATTGTAGGGTGTGTTCCTGAGCCGCAGTATAGCAGTCTTAAATATTTCCTAGTTAACGACAACATTTTGGCAGTGTACCGACTAATTTGTCTATTGTCAGCATAACGTAATCCCGTCGGATGACCTAATTCATACATTCGGTGGCTAACTTATATCTTATGTTGCTATAAATAGGCACCAGTTCAACACTGTTTCATGAAGGTACAATTGTTAATACGAACACTAAGACACTAAGATATCGCATCGCATACTTTCAAAGGCATGCAACCAACACATGTAATAATCTGGTATACTTGAATGACCATTGCTAATGATAACACATTACCGTAACAAAAATATACCAGACATACAAGTGAATAAAACTTTTTTATAACATATTACAGACCAAGTGATGTGTGGAGAAACTCATAGCTGCTTCCGGTAAGTATCATTAAACAGGCCTAACGTTTAATGTGCAGTCTATATAAAGTCTATTTGATAAGGCTTTTTACGTCTGCGTTATATCTGAGTAAATTTCTGTGGGGTTTCATGCCTAACTGTTTAGTTTGAGTGTGAAATATTGATTTTTGTTATAATAGATACATATCTAAATAATTGTAATTGTCGATGGTTCGTAAATCAATAGAAAAACAAACAAAAAAGCTTATCGCTGTTGTTAATTTGCAAACATTACAACTTAATTCATGCACGTTACTGCACATAGAATTTATTCACAGCTAGTGGAAGCTTTCATGATGAATGTTGGATATAAAAAGCCCCTCGTGATTTTTCATTCCCATTTCATTCAACACTAAAATGACAATTATCGTAGTCGTTGTGGATCCATTCTATGTGTCCTAATTGTCATCTGTAAGCATTTGGTTATTTAAGCTATTATTCTTATAGTTAACATTAAAAAAAAAAAACTGTAATGTATTTCCATAACACTCAAATTGTCTAATCATCGTGATTAAATTAAAATACTGACACGTTTCCCACTTTTAAAATGATTGCTTTTATCTTATTTGGCCATAAGAAAAAAAATCAAATGATTTGATTAAAACACCGGAATCAATTCTGTTTATGAAATTTATTATAATTAAAAGTTTGCCATTTCTGACAGGTTCTGGCATGTCATGGCGTTATCCGTCCGTCCGTCGTAAACTTTCATTAGTCAAGATATCACCGCTCTCAGTTTTCCACTGATCCGTTCAAAACTTGAGAAACTAAATCGCATTGACACGGAGTCGTGCTTTCTTGACTGGCAGTTTGATTTGACTGTTTTTAAGTATTACTATCCTGTCTCATTTTCATAACGATAACCTTTTCCGAAGATCTTTCTAAGTTTTCTGCTGATTTAATCTCAAGTTGATAAGCTTGGCATGCAGCTGTGTTTTCCTGAACCGCAGTTTGATTCAAATGTATTTGGAAGAGTAACTGACCTTTGGTGTTTCATAATGTTAATCTTGTCTGGAGATCTCTATCACTTTGTAACTGATTTCTTTGAAACCTGGTAGGCTAAATAGCAATGACAAGGACTTTTATTTTCCCAACCGACAGTTTGATTCGAATGTATTGAGACGAATTACTCACCTTTGTTATTTTTATAGTGTTTACCTTGTCCAATGATCATCTCTTTCTCGATTTCATTCACTAATGAATCCTAGAATGAAGCTGCACGATCAGTTTAATTCATGGTTTGGCTCAACTGTCTCTAACTCTAAACTTGTATGAAAAGTCGCAATCTAATTGTGCTTAATTGACCATGACAGGAAGTGGAATTTGCCTTCACAGTAGTTTTTGGAGTTATTGCCTCGTCAAAATATTTAAATCCATTCTATGTGTATAGTGTGTAATGAAGCTCCAGCCACACTTTATTTTAAGGTGATACTATTGGCAGCTTGTTGGTTTTGAATTTCCACACACAATACCATAAAGCACTCGCTGCGCTTGCTTTGAAAATTGGTTCAGCATAAACTCTACACATACAATTTGTTTACAATTTGTATGGCGTTGCATGTGGTCATGCACAACACAAATATCCTAAGGAATTCACACGTTTAAGAAAATGTAATAGAACAAAACTTAATATATCATATTAAAAACTGTTATTGAACGCGGTAAAAACCGTAGATAAGCTTGACAAATTAAAAACGCTAGTTATTCGCCATGATTAACAAATAGGCAAAATTTAGTATTCCGCAAAAAAAAAAAAAAAAAAAAGAAAAAAAAGTGGTATTTCGAAGTTTTGTATACTGTTGCTATGACGATATTGATATCCTCCATATACAACATTGCAGATTCAAGTGACATACAATGTTATCTACATTTAAGGTATGGCAAATCTTCATGTAGACACATGGAATGTACATACTTCGTTTCCTACCGCGTGGATGATAATGTCAACCGGAGGACCATCCATCTTGAGATCAGCGGCAAGGCACAGGGATGGTTAGCTATAGGTTTCTCCTCCGACAACAAAATGGTCAGTACAATGGTTGGCAGTGGTGTTATTGTGGAAACACAGTATCGTTATTGGAATTGCATTAACCTGTAATTGACTTAAATAATTATGCAGGTGACATGTTACGGACCATGTAGCCTATCCTGAACAAAACAGACTTAGTCAAAATAGTTTTCTTAGTCTAAACCATAATTCTGTCTTGCCGATTTTCCCATCCACGGCGTCAAACGGTGATGAAACTGAAGTGGGCGTTAAAGTTTACCGTTTAGTTTCGAATTGTCAATAGCACAAATGAACCTGATGTATTTCCGTCAGTTATTAAAATATCCTAAATATTGTCAATGATAAAAGATGAATATCTAAAATACAATTAGCATAAAAGCAAACTAAAGAAGCAAACAGTCACTAACCAAATAGCAAAACTGACATCCCCTACACAGCAGGCAGACTATACACAGGAAACTGAAACTACACACACCAGTATATTACAATTCAAAATACAATAAACTAAACCTCAACAGACAGCATAATAACACACAAAACATATAGACACTCCAAACTTAGCTTCACACACTACCAGTAGCAGACATGCTTCTTTTCTCAATGGACAGATATTCTACATATGACTGTAAGCAGTAAAAATGCTGAAAGAAATTGTTTTTCTAACCAAGACAGAAAACATATCTTGACGCACATTGTGAAGTAAAATACATTATGTTCTTCAAAAGGGCGGAGCTGATATAATTGCATGCGTTCGAAAGGATGTGACCTCGTCAGAATTCCGTGTAGGTGCTTTCAGTACTGCTTACTACCACGATACCCCAACTGAGAAGGCGAGTTTTTCTAACTTGACACGGTACGAAGAGGTTGATGGCTATTTCTACTGCTATATCCAAGTTCCCTTTAAACAACGCCCAGGTAACTACGTGGATCTAAGTAACGACTGGTATCAGCTGTACGCATGGGGGAACATTTTTACAGGTACGTACATAGCAGCTGGCATGATCCACTAGCGGAAGGAAATATCGCATTCCATCCTTTTAGATTTGGTTAGTAAATTATCTAAATTGCTGAAAAGAAGTTACTTAAATCAGAATTGGTCGAAGTATAAAAAAATCCTGATTATGATATGTGATATTATAATTAACGTATTGAAATTGATTTTTCAGAATGTACTGTTAAAAAAAAATAAACAAATTTATTGATTAAGATTATTTTTAATGTGCAATTTTGAAATAAGACGACGTTTTGAAATAACATTTGAAATAAGATGTTTATGACTCCTGCATGCTTCTATCATATATCCATAAAGGACAATACAATGAAAGTATCTTTCAGTTAGGTCAATATGGTGCTTATCGACCTGCTAGAAATATTCACCTGACCGATGATCCACAATTGATCAATATCACATGCTCTTCGTCTCTCCGCTGATATAAATGATTATGTTTTCTGCATACTACTTTCCAAATGGTATGTATTGTACCAATGATACAATAACCTTCCATTCCATCACCATTTTCCCATTCAGTTCGATGTAACCAAATCCTAGTATATCAGGCTATTAACGCCCATCTGATCAAGCGTATGAATAAACATTCTGTGGTCAAGGCGAGATGTCCACCAAAACGTAATCTTGGTAGATATAAATGTTGTACATACAATCATTGCATAGACCTATATAACATTACTAAGCCAAATTGTAGTACATTAAACAGTGTACTAAAATTTACAATTATTTGGTCGGTGTTGAAATGAATAAATCTAAATATATCCTAGGTAAACAAAACATGCGCTTTTCACTTCGGTTTCAATATATAGTGAACTGACATATACGAAGTTGTTGGACTTAGTAAGACCTTCATAAAATATATGTAACTTTACAAAGCTATCAAATCATAGCAGAACAAATATATTGTCAAACGTGTAATTTTGCCACGAACTCATTACTGTAGTCAAAACATACTGATTACCAAGTTTGTCAACTTTGGCTGCTTCAACAGATGTTGATCTGTCCAAATTACAAATGTAGAATCCGTTACAAACAAAACGTCGTTGCTAACTGACATGATCGACTACCGTGTCTAAGTACCATGGTAATTCTATTTTGAAAGTCGCATTAATCCACTTCACGAAAACGAAAATAATACCCGACTAAATACTAGACACATTGTTCCGTGAAATCTGACGGAAAGCCGCATTTTTTTAAAATGAAATATCAATGCACAATTTTATTCCAAACGAAGGAAAAAGATAATGTAAAAAAGTAATTATTAAAAGAAGTGCTAACGTTTACACTTTTATATAGATAATCAAGTTAAATCTGTGACTACTATTTCATATCATTGCTTTTGTTGATAACACTAGGAACTATATTTATATATTAATACTATTTCTCATGGATTCGGAATTCGTGACATCAGTATTTGGTAAAGCGGGAAAATTAAACGGCATTTATTTCGATTTTTCTATAGACACTTGAGAACGGAAATATAAATAACAAATCAGATGGGGTATACACGAATGCAGTCCGGGCGGAAGATAAATATTCCCGGCGCCATGCGGGTGCCATTCTGTTTATCTTCCACCCGGACTGGCTTTATATTAACTGTATACCCACACCATCTGGTAACAGATTATTGTTTAGATATATTTTGCCTTCCATGCTCATCCAGATGATATAAAAAATGAATTTTAACGAAAATATAAAACAACGTGAGACATTTGTATTCATGTAATGCGGTTGTGTTTATAAATATTCAGTTAATATTTCAGTTCAAAATATCTATTTACAGGTGGGAAAATGGAAAGACATATTCATCCGCCTTTGACGTCGTTTACCCAAGTTAGTGTCTTGTACAAAAGAAATGAGTTCGGGGCAGGAAAACAGATAAAGGGAGACAACCTTCTCTGTTCACTGCTGCTGATCCTACTTGTAATTTTGATGTGAATTCAATGACATTCATCTGATCCAGTTATTCCATACTTTATCTGTGGCCCTGCTTCTATTGATGGTTTTGAAAATGCGACACGGAATAATATTTTTCTTATATTCATTTAAAAACGACGGAAGATGAATTCCATGCTGTCAACTTTACGGTAATTGTCATGGTCAGGTACTAACGTTCACTCTCACAAATTAAAGTGTAAAGGAAGTTTGACATGTCTATCACGGCATTGTCACAGTGAGTGTATTCTTTCGCGGTTACTAGATTTTCGCCATTGTTATGGTACTACCTGACCAAATAGCATTATAAGATTAGTCCGAATCAAAGTTTAATGTATGAAAACAGGTATCGGAGTGTGTATCTATCAATGAGATATAAATCAAATAACGTGTTGTGCAGTGTGGTAGTCTAGTGGAGATGAGGATTCATCATTTGGTGTCTTCCTTGGAAATGTGGATTTACATACCTTAAAGACTTATTCCTTTATGTAAATATAAGAAGCAAGCTGCAGCTGCAAAAGTCGCTGCGAGAAGGAGGTTTAAAAACGAATATGTTCTAATGAATAAATGTAATAATTCTTCAACCTTGAAACAACAGAATGTTGCTTACTACGCAGAAAGGATGTGTGGAATGTGAGAAATCAATTACTGTCCAATCCCAGGAGTAACTTTTAAAAGCTGAGGCAGATACCCTATTGCTATGAAAATATAAGCCATTGACAATACGGGTTACATTTTGATTCCAAATAGTTGTAGATGTCGTATTCACATCATTCGTACAGTGCCATTAGAAAATTCCACAGCATATTCATTGAATATCCCGTGGTCGCGAAAGACTAGAATGGATCTATAAACTACAAATTCATGTATAATGTGTAAAATTAAATGTTTTGTACATATGACTTATCATTTATAGACCAACATAGATTAACAAGATGATATTACCAATGAAAGAAGCAAATTCACGTATGGATATCATGCCTATTGTAGGAAGGAGTGATTTTGCACCGGCTTGGTGCATAGTAAGCACGATTGATGTTTGGGATCTCTATTGTTTTTAAGTGTTTTCATAATGATGAAATTCTAGGTTTCAGTGAAACCTATACAGAGTTAAAGGATCAACTGAATAATAAGACCAGGCGAACTGCTGTCCTATCGATGCTTAACTATATTCATATTTCTTTTGGTGGTGTCACTGTCGTTAATCTAGTAGGATGAGAACATACTAAGATTATGGCCGAAAAACACCGGCAAAGGTACATATAGGTGTCTGCTTCCAGTGCGCGGTTCTCTTTGATTTTCAAACATCAGTTGGTTATATTCTACTATGGATAATTTGCAAAATAAATCTGCAATACACATATGTGGCACAAACTGCAAACTGCACAAAAAAAAAAAAAAAAAAAAAAAAAAAAAATCGTCAATAAGCAATTTACATTAAAGTTTATCGCATTTTTGTTTCCGAAGCGCATGCTATGCATTTCAATGTGTTGGTTTCCATCTTATTTGTGCGGTGGACAGATAATCACACATTTTGGTAATCGGCAATAACTAATTACTGAACCATGTCTGGACAGAAATCTTATCACAACCGAGTATCAGCATTGTTACTCCTGCATTTGTCGACCTATTTTAGCAGCAATCTTGGTATGTCCTTTCCCTACTGCGTAAAAGGCAGTGGATTTTAACGAATTCTTTTATCTACACGCTTTACCATCTAAGTCTTTCCATCAATACTGTCATTTGTGTCAGAGATAAGATGCATGAGGTATACTTTCGGTTGTTTTCTGCTATATATCCTCCTTGTCAGCAGTGCATTTTTGAACCCTTCCTTACCTTAACTCTACAGGATAGTCTGTCTGCTTTTTATATCCCGCAACAATACATGGATATTGCAGAATCTAAAACATTTCAGTTTTTCCTCGAGAAACATTTTCCCCACGAAAAAAAGTGAATAAACGAATACCACTCTCTTTATCTTATTTTCAAAAACGCCTATATAAATTCTTATGCGGGATGAAGCATTGTCGTGAAAAAGCTGTATGTCGTTAACTTGGATGTTTTCTTTTTAGTATTTTCATATCACTATCTCTATTTAACTTGGCATTGATAGATTTTTCATACGTGCACGGTCTCTGATGAATGCTATGTCCATTAGAATATCTATCAGAATCTTTCTTTACATTTCTATCTTATATTGTCGATCTTCGACCTTAGTTGCTTTTTCAACGAGTACTACTTGTCATTTATGAATATTTTAGAATTCAAGTACCACGACAAGATTTCATCTTCCGTTAGTAGGTTATGTTGAGTGTTCGTTGCCACACTATTCAAATGATAAAGAACACATTTCAAATGCTTGCCCCATTTTTCAGATGTGAAACGTTTAAATAATTCATTAACATGTTGTATATGCCTTCTAAGATACCAGATCTAAGACCTATTTAGGAAATAGTGAACGATTACTCTTCTCTGTAATTCAATCATTGCTTTAAATTAGCAATTTTCTTGTTTAATAGGTATAACAGTCTTGAATTTTCTGAGCCAAATTTTTTCTTAGAGACGGCAGATGTACTTTTTTGTACTGTATCTGTGTTGGATGTATATGAACATCGAGTTTTAATACATGTAGGTATTTCAAATGTGACCTTAACCTTAATTTTAGTTACGGTGATACATATTATTCATTATCTCTTAACTGATTTATCTAGTTCACGCAAACTTTTGTGCCCTAACAGCTTTGTAAACTCCTCTGCAGCGTGTCAAAACGCGTTTCTTTTTTATTGACATTTTATTGATATTAGAGTTGTGCTGTTGCATAATTTAATAAGTTCGTGACACCAATATCAAGACAGTGGAGACTGAATTGACTGGAGACCGTAAGTAAAGTTACATCTACGACATGAGAATTTGTTTCAAAATACCGATAATCATATATTTATAAAATATTTGCATCACTATAAAGCTAGTAAGAGTAAGGACTCGAATAGGGCTCTCTAAGTGTGCCTTTATTTTCTGTAGGTTAGCCGACGATACCATATTTCTGAAATTTTCAATAATATATCACCATGCACTGTACAATACCTACTATTTGTTTTCATTCAAATAAGGTTTTGATTAAGTGTAATTTATCTAACGATTACAAGTTCAAAGGTATAACAATGCCTCACTTTGAATTATTTGGCATAGATATAACTTTTGATACCATTATGTAAACACGTTTTCTATATAACTTGTCTGTGTTTTAAATAAAATCTCAGTCTGTTGTATTGCTAATAAACTCCCGGTCTGGTTTATTGCTTTGTATAATCTGTGCTGAGCTATTGCTTCATACACATTGGCGATGCTATATATACAACGATTTCGCTCGGTAACCATGCTTCGTAATCATCAAGGACACACATATGGGTTTTGCGTCTTAGGTTCAATCTGATACTATCGAATCAATGGAGGATGCTGAATAGGATATCCATACTAAACGATGCGATTCAAGATGTATCTTTATGCTTTATAAAGAGAGTTGTCTTATATTGTTATAATATGTACTTAGTTATTAAATGAATTACAATTAATAAGAGTCACATATTAATTTCAAATCCCATTTTGTATATTATCTGAACACAGTACATATGTAATAGTACCAACGTCGATGTTTCGATAAATGGAATTATTGTTATAAAATAGTTCATTTTAAAACATCAAATACTTATTACACCAGAGTCAGTAAAAAAAGATTGTATCAATTCTGAAACCTTCTTTGATTTGGGAAATGCAATACTGAAAAAAAATGTGTAAAATACAAATGTGGAAATTGATTTAAACGTTAGCTTATGTATTTAATAAGATAAGTGTGATTTTGTTATGGTTTTACGCTCTCATCAAAATTTTATTTCATCGAATGATTTTACATTTCTTACATATCTAATTTCGTTTCGTCAACTCGATTTAGCTCTATTGAATATGTCCTTTCGACAAGTCGCACATATGTGACACTGTTATCATGAAATAAATTGACTATCATAATTATTGTATGGAATTGATAAGGGTTGTTTTTGTCACAACAAGTGCTTTTCTTAAACCAAAATGAGGCAAGACGCAAATATCATTAAATTAATATTTCACGCTGCGATGTCATCGTATTAACATTCCGCTATAAACGAATCGAATTGTTTCTACCTTCAACACTAGCAGATTTTCTGGAATTGAGGAGTAAACAGTTTGAGTACGTTTGTATGTCACGTGTCCTGAAACCTTCGTATAAGGCCACTTCTACCTGTTTTTATCATTATATAAATTGTAGACTTTTGTTGAGAATAAATATGTACACAACATAGAAAAAAAACCCAGATCAATTGATAACATATTGTTGTCGAAACATTCACACTGAGTTGGATGCTTGCGATTGCTATTTGAAAGAAACAATTACCAACCTTTAAATGTCAAATATTTATATTTCATATTTTCAACAATATGCTTGTCACAATAGTCTCAATAGTTTGCTCTAAGACTCGGCAAATAACTTTGTTCGCGTTGCTGCTCTGATAACATTATCAATTGCATCCATATGTACATGGCGACGGCTGACTGATAAACTCACAGCACATAGATTCTAAAGATGAGGATAATCAAGAAAATGTTTTCATTTTGGAACGTGATCAGAATTATCAGTAAGAAAACAAAGTGTCAGTCTTTTGATGAGTTATATTACTGATGGCAGTTAGCATTTTTTTCCACAAAAACTTGCTATATATACTATTTGCGGAAACCAAAGGTAGTCGAAATAAACAGTTTCATTATACAGTAGAAATGATTGGAACCGTTCATCGTTTTCAAGAAGGTGTCACTTTTTATTGAAGATCCTTGATAGTTTGGTTGACCAAGTTTTACATGACAGATATTCACAAAGTTTCATATTTTGTTCTTTTTTTATATGGCAACATTTCATTGTCTTTTGATTTTGATTGTTTATCATCATTAAAGAAAATGAAGTAGGATCAAAATCAAGTTATACACTTTTTTTTTAATTAATTTAATGTTGTTAAGCAAACATGAAATTTATTGTTCAAGTTGAGTAAATATAATTAAGTTTTATGAAGTGTGATGTGAAAAAAAATCAAATTAAAAAAAATGGATAAATGGTAGTTGAATTGTCACTATTTTCATTCGGTCACCAAAACCGTTACAACTATCAATACTTAAATGCGAAGTAACAAAACCACATTATGTGAGCAGTTGTTGGCAAATGCAGTCCCTCAAGTGATTTTTTATACATCAAGGTAATGCAGTAATACATCAAAGATGAAAACCAATATAGGACTGTACGTGTTTTACTGTACCAGAAGGCTCTGCCACATCACTTATACATGAAAATAGAGTGAAACCACGCAAGTGACCATCTCACTATTAAGACTGGACGAAAGACAGTTCGATTCAATGCAAAGTTAGATTAGAAAAAAAGAACACACAATTAATTATGAAGTCAACTACATCAAACAGCTGTTTTGTCCTTCTGAGACTCTAACTCGTTCATAATACTGCGGCCCTAAATGTTGAAATCTTGAAGGTGACTGAGGAATTATCGAATGCCAATATCTGGAAGAGAAGGCATACTAGGTCACAGTTCAGTAAATATCGTTACTATCTTGTCAATTTTTTGATAATTTTGCAAGAAAGTCTAGTACGAGTGTATATTCTGAGTCAAATCCCAAAAGTCTATTCGACTGAATTTAAACATGATATGTAGGTTACACAGAACTTCGGGGAATAAAACACCATTGTCTATCATTTGCAATATTGTAATTTGATAAGTTAAGATTCTAAATACTTTTGGAATTTATTTGATAAATAAGTCGCAGAAAGCCCACTGGCTTTCCCGTTATCATTACATTTTATGTCTTTATTTTCAAGTGCAAACGATAATGTATTATATGTTATTGCATGATTTTAACGTGAATAAGGATCAGCATACCACACATTAAGATCAGTTACAGTGTAACGAATTTTTCAACGATTTTAAAGAACAAATTCCAACAGAGTATCAATATGTGAAAATTATCCTGATAAATCAAGTCAATGATAGCGAGGGTAAAACTCAAAATATCACACAGCAATTTTAGTTGTTGCTTTTTCATTTTTTTCCTGATACATATATATACATACGTATGAAAATATCAATTTGTCAACATAATCGTAATATATAGCAAAATATACGAAAAAAGAGAATATGACCAGTTGTTCCAGAAGAGTGAGCGTTTTCTGCTTCTTCTGGTTCATTGACGACAACCGTCAAGTAAACCAATGTCAATCGAGGTATGTGATTTCATGTTCTTAAATGTGAACATGGTATATAACTACGGAACCAACAGGCAAACTAACGAGCATGAAGCACGTGCAGTCTCTTGTCGTTAAAAGAATAAGGTTATTCCTCAAAGAGATCACTGTGACGACCTTAAAACCGCCTCAAAATGTTCAGTTACCTTTTCTAATAACAATTGCTAGGCGAAATTAAGGAATACGGAAGAGAAGTGTTTTTTTTTATCATTTATGTTATTCTTCGTCGATTATATGTTATCAAAGTAAGGGTTAATCGAACTGATGAAGTAATACATATTTGGCTATTCAATTATGCCAAAAAACTCATTCTGTCTCTGGAACAGTAAGTTTTGATAACTTGTCCAGACAAATTCGTTCTTCTTAATTCCTTGTCTCAACGTTACAATGGAGATACGTATAATGAATTATTAATGTTATGAAAATGTAACAGGAAAGTGTTAAAATACCAAAGAGCAGGTTTTTTTTTTGTTAAAAAAACACTTCACAATTGGGTGCCGCCTAATGATTCATATGCTTGAGTTTAATGAAATTTAACAAATTCAAGCATTTAAAAAATAGTTTTGTGTTATTGAAAAGCAACCAATTCTTTCTGCTATGGTTTTCACACATTTCACTAGCGACTTGTTTTTTGGAACTCCTTTTTTTAATACCAAAATCGAATTTCTGTAACTGAACGTTTTGAATTTTTTTCTGATATTTTGATAAGTCCTGCGATATTGCCTTCAGTAATGACTGAAAATCCAACTATAATGATATTATACATATTGCAGTGTCCGTTTTTGTTATATGTGTCATAATATCATAGTCAATATAAATCAATTTGTATTCCGTCATCCATCGTCCGTCAAACACCTGACATTTGCATCTTTCAGAATTGTGCTCGATGCTCGATATCATGCCTGAGTAATTTGTCAATGTGACAATTCCTGCCTGTTTTGCTTGACGAAGAAGAGCACACAGTGTCGATAGAGCAGAAGACGATTTACCTTCTGAAACACTTGTCTTATACTCTGATGTTTTCAAGAGTCTTTGTATTAATTCTTCCTTAATACCAGATTTTGTTATGGTTTCAATGATTTTGGTTTAATTTAAAATATGTTGATATCTTTTATATACAACTTTTCCTACCGATCCATCCAAAACACCACATAAATTGCTCACTCGCGTCATGTTTGCCTTATTGTACTATTAATATTGCACACCATGTTGTATGTCGGTATTTTTCTTTTACTTTGTTTGAGTGGTAGTTCATGCCATTTACACCTTCAGATCATATTGTTTATGCACTTGTGGCAAAAGAAAGGATCGGATACTTTACAAGGCCATTTCACTGAATTCCCCTTTCATATGAATAATTCCATGATGTACTTTTCCACAAAAAAAAAAAAAAAAAAACCGGATTGGACAGGTAATACTTCCTTGATCCAAATTAAGAGCAAGATAAAGCGCCATGTAGGTGTGTCTAGAATGTGAAAATTCAGTATGTAGCACTCTAACAACATCTGTTGGCGGCCCTTCATCCTAGGATACTGTCTTCAAATGTCCATAGTTCTGACGAGAATATAAATCACCAAGGAAATTATAACATAGGTTTTTTTTCTTGTTAAGTATACTTAAATATATGTGGGGTGTTATCGGTTCTTCGAGTCTTGTTGTATTACTTAATGCTAAGTTAGAAATGATACGGATTTCAATCATCTAATTCTTAATTCGTCACAAACGTCAGCTTGCTGCAACTTTATTCCAACTATAACTAGTTTCACATGGTTTTGTATAGGTATCCCTTGAAAATAGGAAAATAGAGAAACTATAGCAATGTCATTGCATATAGCACATCTGATATAAAGGTTTCGACTTAGTGCTCACTTATGTATTCTCTGTTTATTCCTTGTATTGGTTCAAATTGTTGATGATCACCGCCAACTTATCTCCTGGCTATCGCAAGGAAGTAGAATGAAAAGAAAAGTAGCCAACAACTTATTAACACCAATTTTTCAACGTAAAATATTACTTTTTCTTATCCTGCTAGTCCCAGGAGTGTTTTCTACTTGTGTATAATAGTTTATTGGCTATGCATCTTTCATTCGCTTTCATTATCTTCTTTGTAATAACGTTTTCCTGTGTCATTTTCGAATAACTTATACAGAAAGATACTTTTTCTATTGAAGAAAATATGGAACTGCTCATCAATAATTAATTCAACAAATAACATTCGTCATTGGCCTATTTGGTGCTTTTGTTTGCCACTAGATTCCAATGTGTGATGCAGACCAGGTGAATAGTTAACCGATGCTGTCTCACTGATGGTATATCGTAAGTATAGTGTATCTTTTAAGAATCATGAAATTCATGTGAATTTTTCATTGATAAAAAGGAGAACACGTGATTGTTGAATGCGCTTTATTTGTTTATTATTCTATAAATTAGATCAATCAATTTCAACTGAATTTTTTTAACCCTATTGTTTCAATATCTGTCATTTATCTCTCTTACGACACCGGTCTTGTGATTAGGAAGGGGCTGAAAAAAAAAAAAACAATTATTACAGCAAAGTGCTTTTCGTGAGTATGGCGAGAGCAAATTTTCATATTTTCATATAGTTCAAGGAGTAAAGACAATTTGTTTTATAAAAAAGAATGCTCGTTGCATTTCATTGGGGGCAATTAAAGCGTGAGGCCAATCAGTTTATGAACAATGGAAATGTAAGTTACTTGGAAAAAAATTGGTACTTTCAGCTGAACATAGATCAATCTATTAATGGAATAATGATATAGGATACTTACGTTGACACGGTGATACGTTACAATGGCATGATGTGGGCTCACTTATTGTCATAGTTGTGGCGATATCCTCGTAATCAGAATTAAGCCTTTTGCATGTTATATTGATCAATCTCTGTCGAACCTTTTCAGATGTACAGCATTTACATTCATTCACTCCAAAACCGTTAGGGAAGTGGCTGCTGTCACCACATCCGCCCGAGCAATAATTATAAGTTATTTTCGTTCCCGTTGTACAATTTCTATATGGCGGGTGACTGAAATCCTTCACAACTTCTGTTTTTGAATGGAAACGGCAGGTATCTGAAAGAAACACAGACGGAATGTCATTTACTCTATATTAAATTCGATTGTCCTTCAAAATGTTGCTTTACTCTAAAAGTGCTAGCATGACCCGAAAACAAATGATATAATGTTTAAGAGCAAGTTTAAGACTTTCTTTCTCAATTGCAAACATGCAATGTATGTTGCTTTATCGTATTCTACCAACATACTGCTCAATTCTAATGATTTTGTTTCCAAAAGGGTTACCTTTCTTGCATACATGGCAGCAACCATCTTCATCCAGCACTTTAATCTCACCCTATAAACAAATTGTTGTGATAATGAACATAATAGAACAGATATGGGTTTTTCACGGAATCAAAATATACGTACAAGATTGATTATAGCTATCTTTCGACGGATCATCATTATCGATCATGCGCGTTTGAGGTTTAGTTGGTCAGACATTTTATGAATGCAGGTACCGTTTACCATCAACTTTACTATATATTAAAATCCTGAGAAATATTAAGCTTCATAAACTGAAAAAAAATAATATGCATAAGGCAACTAGCAGATAAGCAAAATGTTTTGAATCTCACCTCCATACACTCAGATGGTTCATTACATTTGCTGCTACATATTGCTTCTCCTTTCTCGCATATGCATCTTTCGCATTTGTTTAATGGATTCTCAAATTCTTCTCCTTCCTGTTCATTATAAAGAACGAAAATAATATCCTTGATATGGAATACTAAATTAAGGGTAAATTAAAGTGCGTCTCAAATCGAATTACACAATGCATCTACCTAATAACAAACTACGAATCAAGTTGATATGTTAAACAAAGTTGCCATGTAACCGAAATGTTCTTGTTGATTGTCACTTAATATATATCGAACTCATAGCAATTTCGATATCATTATTGGTAAACACGAAACAGGGAAATATGTAAACAACATGAATTATTTCCAATAATCAGTACAACCTTCATTGCAAGTGCATACCTTTACTTTAGTGCCGTCCGCAAATACACAATAATCGCATTCATCTTTATGTACACATTTCCCGTCCTTTCGTACGTAATTAGGCTTGCACTCACAAGCGGGAGGACCATCACATTGAATTTTTTCGAATCTGTTGTCACATGTTTTTTCACAGCCAGATGTATTGGTAAAGTATTCATTGGTATCACATTCTGCGTAAAATAGAAACATTTGAAAAAAATATAAACGGAGTTTCCTTGCAAAATTTCGGATATTGTGAACATATTTGATATTAAGTAACATTATGCATTTGCGTTTTGTCCTGATGGGTCCGCAGAGTTATTGGCTGAAGATGGTTTACGTGAACTCAAAATAACTTACTACAATCTTCCAGATAACAGTCGTCTGTCTCATTCAGCTTTGGACAATCAACATCTGTATCACTTATGATTTCTCGAGTCCTGGATTTGGTTCCTGATCCACATGTCACACTGCATGATGACCAGTCGTTCCATTCAGAAACCGTACAATTAGCTAAAAACAGGAAAATAAACATTAGTATTTCACTCTACATTTCATGTCAAATCAACAAATCAAATGTTGTCCATTGCTGATAGTATCTATCGATGCATTGATCAGAAATGTATGTCAAATATGATTCTTATACCAATAACAATTGAAGTAAAAACCGTTGACGCGTTATGATATTTTGTGACCACGAACATATCTTTGTACATGTACACTCATTAAATTACTTTTCAAAAACGTTCATTACATTAATGGCATGCTAGCCTATGATAAATGGAGATATATACCATTATACAGATGACATTAGGCTATTTTGTTTAAATTATGTGATTTGGTTTGTAATAATACTTACTTTCGCAGCTTTGAATATTACACGCTTCCGTCTGTGTCAGTGGCTTAGAACAATACTCTGCGTCATCGGGCTTTACTAGAGAACGCGTGCGGTTCCTGAATCCACTGTTGCATTCCGCAGAGCAGTTCGTCCATGGTGACCACTGAGTAATTTCACAACCTAGTGAAGCAGAAGTATAATGCACTCCGTCCTTATATACATACATACATAACATATATACAATTTAATGAAAACATGACAGAATTCAAACAAACATGACAATACCTATATGCATGATACAGTGTATTACTTACAGTAGTTTGACTCGCATTCTTGCGTTTCAGTATACGGTCCTTCACACAATTTGCCACATGATGGTTTAGGGTTGTTACACTGTCTACTCCGCTCTCTTGTTCCACTGCAAATCATCGGTGTAGCTGAACATGAACCCCACTGAGTCCACTCATCAAAACCGCCATCAGCTTTGTAATGAAATAAAGAGAATCATAAGGGTGTACATATGCTTTTGGGCATTTTAAATTCATCCAATATGTACTTTTACGGCGTTTCTTCTCTAATTGTTTTTGAATCTGGAATTACTTTGTTGTGATTGGCATATTCCCATAGAAACTATGAAACGATACTGAGGAAACAACGTTATAATGGGTCTGCGGATTGGACTATTTCAAACGTTTGAAAATTATCATGTGAACTTCATACATATATTGGCATACACGTTTGTTGCTATTTCGTATTCGGTTTATGATATACTTAGCATTTTGATATGTATGCAAGCGGGTAAGGAAAAAACAAAAATCATGTCATGTTTGCTTTCATTTACACACGTATGCACTTTGCAATAACACACTTAATCATTTTTGAAACTGTTTCTTAAAACGCGCAGTCAAATTTGGACTCTCTATCGGATGAGTTTTGTTTAACGCACCTGCTTTTAATACCAAAATGATAAAAAAAATAGGAAAATAATGGGTGTATATGACTGACACTATATTAATTTTAAACTGTGTTAAATTAGATAACAGAACGTGTTTAATGTTAAAGCCCCACTTACTTCCATCTATGTCGACCTTTTGTATAGATCCATTGTTACATAATCTGAAACAAAAACGAACAAATATTGAAATTCAATTACAAAAATGGCATGTCGCAGAAGCGGCTGCTTGACTGGTAAGCTTAACGTTAGCCTTATGACTATAACGCATCCGCCTGTCATTGATTATAATCCATTATCCAGTGTTTCACTGGTGAATATGCTATGAACATCACTATTAAAAGTGTTATCTGATAAATGTTGAATGAAAATAGTTGTGTCATAAATAATTTTCGCTCGACAAGCTAAAACAAAACGAATAACTAAGATCAGTTGTTAAAATTTATATTATAACACTATAGAATCATTTATTGCAAACAAGAATTAGCAGAAAGGCGCAAAAGCAGGTGTCATATATAATACATGTATGTTTGATTACAATTTCCTCGTAATCCATTTTTTCTTTGCGGCGGAAGTAATAAACCGTGAACATGTGTATAAACAATAGTCAAAATAAACAATGTTCCGACGCCAAAAATATGTACAAAAACAACAAATTTGACGTTATAGGCGCGTGTATCGCTTCATAATGGATAAATTTTATTTTTCATAAGCCGAATTCCCCGTTTCCCGATGTTGAAATCTAAGGTAATAGCTGCTCTAAACATATGTAATGAATACGCACCTCTTGTAACAAAGTTCATTGTTTTCTTCAATCACGTCTGTATCGTTATATATTTTGCCATCATATACACATTGTCCACATGGTGTCGGCATTGTACAGTCTTCGGTCTGTATTTCCTGTTTACATTCAGGTCCACCGTACAGCTTATCACTTTGAATATAATGACATAGATGAGTTTGGGTCATAAATATGCAAGAAAAAATGTAATAGCTGTATTTTGTGATGCATTGAAAAGAATTATATATTCAACGCTTTAAACATGGTGTATCTTCCATGCGTCACCATTAGGGTGCATACAACTCTCTTTCAAATAAATAGTTGGATACAAGTTATAGACATTAGAAATAACGTATGCTAGTTTAATTAAATGAAAAAAGACTTTCCCGTTCACGGATTTAGAATTGTGGTTTGTTCCCTTAAGTTTCACTTTTATGTTAGTAATTTACCAAATAAGCGATGTATTGGGTGACATACCTGACACGTTTTCTTTTTCCATATCCACACATTTTGTCATTAAAACACACAGACCATGACGACCAGGGATTATGCACGCAGCCTGCAATATTCCAATATGATTAAGAGACTTGTAGTCCAAACGTTGATTAAGTAAGTGTCACGTTGACTGAACTCATTTCCTTAATGATAGATATCATAATCAATCGCGTAACCTTATTAATTTAGTAATGACCAAGGATGCATTTCTCTGAACAAAAATAGAATATTAATATTTTATCCTTACAAACTGTCCTAGTTTTATTGTATTAGTTTAGATTATAATTCAGTTGACATGTTGCAAAACAGAATAAGACTATACTTACGCGGAGAAACAAAATGGTAACCTTATATATCTATAAAATTCTAATTAGAAGTAATGAATGAATAAATAAACCTAACGACTGGAAAACGCAATAAGTGCTGGCCTTGGTGAAGATTTTAGCAGCGACTATATAATTATTCTTCATGTCATGTCTGGTGCTGTGTAAGTGGTGTCGTCACGTGATAAAATACGTACTAACTTGAGTTTGTTTTCAAATAGCTTAATAAAACACACAAAATTAAAAATATGTTAAATACTAAAGCCTATAATATCTATTAACTAACTCTTCTTTACTAATGAATCCTTGAGTGGTCATAACTTACAATTTTCCTGAGTTTTACAATCCATTCCATTCTCTGTGCAGGTACTGAAAAAGAATAATTATGATAACGACATATAATTAAAAGATGACGAAGTTATTGTGTTTTGAATTTCAAGATGTAAATGTAATCGTATTCATGAATGCAAAATTTAAATTATACAAAATAATATATGTCACATATTTCTAACAATCTGTTTAACGCGATTATCACTCCATGTTTTGTAAACATACCATTCTTCGCAGGTATCTTTGTATATTTTTGTAGTGTTCTGTATCATTGGTGTTCCATCGTCATCAAAACACGGACAATTTTTGAATTCTATACACTGACCATTGTGTTCAGTAGTCCCTTCTTTGCATACGCAAGTCATGCCACAATATTCACTCTCCTCGCATTGATTGCTTCTGTATGCTTTGCATGTGCTGTTACAAGCGTTATCACAGAATGGTTTCAATTCTTTTCCATCCACACAATCTGTCAATGTATATCACATGACACATAATATCATGATATCGATTAACGACAATACCTAACTCATTCAAAGTATTCTTTCATGAAATATATATATTATATATGTTTGCAAAAATGATATACACAGGCATACTTGTGTATTCAGTAAACTATTCAGGTGATGGAATTTGATATTGATTATATATATATATCGATAAATGCAAACTTACCGCAGTTGGTATTGTTTAAGCTGCATGTTTTTTCCTCTTTACATCTTTCATCGGGATATTCACATCGTGTTCGAGTCTGCGTGCCCATTGTACAATTACCAGCGTTGCAAATACTCCAAGGGCTCCAGGCCGGTTCCGTCGCTGATACAACGAAAGATACAATTCAAGACTTAACATATACCTTCGATTTTTTTTAAAACATTTCTTTGCGGCATTACCCTTATATTGTAACAGTTCGTTTCAAGATCGCTAAATTGTTTGACTATTTTTTCTTTCACATTCATTTTGACAGATACCACTTACTTGTAGATACACATGGTGTGTTGTAACACTCTTCAGTTTGTGGTACCTCCTCGTCACAGGTTTCGTCATACTGTCCAGGAATCAGTTGTCTTGTTCTATTGCGAATTCCAGTGTCACACTCTTTGTCACACTGTGACCATTCTGTCCAGGAATAGTACGAACACGCTGCAATCAAAGGTTGAAATAGGAAATATCAGTTTCAGTGGATCAGTCTGATATAATAAGGGTGTAAAACGTATAGTAATAAGTATAATGACCATATCACATTACTTTAATCAGATTTTCACTTCTTTGGTCACGTTATTTCTTCTGCATGGCTATTATCACAATGAAGTCTGTTTTCGGTATTGATATGAATGGTTTTATTTTAGCATATTATAATGTAATGCTAATAGTCTAAATTAGATTTATATGGGAAAATATCAACAAAACCGATAATTTGATGCCAAGACCGACCGCAACATTTCCGAGTAGACTGCCTGATTTCAATTAAACCGGTCCAATATATACATTATATATATATATATATATATAATTGAATGTTGTATGAATAGATTCCGTTGTAGGAAATTATACGATTACTCATTTCGTATAATTAACATTTTAACATGATGGGAAATGGAAAACTTAAGTAAATTGTTCATTTTTTAATATTGTGTATTCTGTCCCGAATGGGGTTATGCAATTGTATTAAACATGACCGTAGTCAAACACAGGGGAACTGTACTTAATCACATAGAATGTATTATGACATGATTTGATCGTACTTACAACATGGCTCAGTTTTAGGGGAGCATTCCCATTGATCAACTGCACATGTGCTAAAATAAACAGTAAATAAGTAGTATGCAATGCTGTATCTGTTATTTTTCCATTAATATTTCGATAATGGGATGTGAATGAAGCTGTCAATAATATCGGAATGAAAGCCTTTTTCACATACTGTGACCATACTGATTAGCATACTAGTAACATTTTCTTACAAAAAGCAACATGTAAATATCATCATGTCATCATAATCATAATCAAACCTCAGACTCAATAAAACTGCGGTAGAATATAAACAAAAGAAATATTAATACTAAGACTCCAGTAAAAAGTACAATTAGAATATTACCGGGTTTTCCGCAAGAGTAAGCATCTGTTGCTCAAATGAGAGCAAAGAGTACAACTATGTAACCTGAAGACACACTTACGGACAGCAAACACGCCAAACTTCATATCGCACAAATAAAGATAAAAAAAACCATGACGACCCTAAAACTTCCCATAATCTTCAAGTAAATACATCGAACTAATTTCAAGACGAGAATGACATTATCAGCAAATAAGCTTTAATATTTATAACACACCATAATCTTACCTGCTTATTTAATATCAAATATGAGAAAAAAAAAAACATTTTGCTCTCGTAAGCACTAACCGAAAACCAACGCAGTCGGACGGGTGAGCCTAATTTTTTCTCTGGTCTAGTAGGGGAATTCTTATATCAATTTGACCGGTTGAAATGCAAGTGGGTCATTCTTATCGCCAACAAACCTCCTGACATATTTTATCGCTTATCTTGATATACATGTAATTCAAATATAACACTCATGTGTGCTAGTAAACTGATATATATAGAAATTACGAAATTCATCTAATTACGGGGCTAGTGAACATCCCTGTCTAGATTTTGGCTTTTCTCTAAGTATTTAAATTCCTTGACGAAAACTTAAAGGACGAAATAGCTATATGATACAGTTTAAATCATTGTTTGGCTCTACTGTATCTAACGTTCATATTAGAATGTGTTATTCACTTGTGTATCTTTTGTACAGTCTTAGAAATACGTTGTTTTATAATTGCGTTTGAAATAGGACGACGTTGCTATTTGTTTAGTTCATCAGTACAATTCATAGCAAATAACAGCAAACATATGTAATAAAGAAAACAATAATAATAACAATGTAAATATATCAGTTAATTACCAGTTAAGGCAGTAGAAATGAACAACTTCTCCTTCCATAATGGTATCACCTACAGACACAGTTTCTTGAACACCATCCTTTATAATGTATCCAAATTTAGCATCGTTATCCGAAACAAAGTTCTGATATCCTAGGTGAGCTTGCAATGACAATCCGTCTAATCGACAATACTTCAGACCTAAGAAAAGAAAGCATCTAAGCGTTATGTATTACTAACAAATTAATAAAAGTTAATGAATTATATTATTTGTAAACGGTATTAAGTGACACAGGAGGGACGCGTTTAAATTTGTCACTGATGCTTAAAGGATACTTTTTGAATCATATTGTTTAATTTGTTCAACTGCATTAACATAATTCGCGAAGACATACAACCATTTGCTCGTAAGCTTGTATCGGACGTTTTTTTTGAAATGTTAGCTATTATTTAGAATATTGTATGTATAGAGCTAAGTCTAGGGTATTAATCAAATACTGCATAGGCTAATGTACACCCGCTGTTATCATTTGGAACATTATCAGTCCGCTGTATTTAACAATACTGAAATGAACGTATTAAAGGAAACTCTCTGTGGCATGTGTTTAAACGGCCTGTAACAAAAGGTATTTTATAGATATCATTGTATATCGCACGTTTTGATGGCTATTAGTCAATTCGAATAGCGACACTGTGTTTAAAGACGTCAATACAAGCAACACATCTATTCATAAATGGTGATTTTTATGATATTTTGCAGATTTCTGTGGTCTGGATTAAAGATATTAAACGATTCATGATTCATCTGGACAGATTTTTTTTAATGTATTAAACTCATCTGCACAAATCTATTAGCTTATGATTAGAAAGTACAAAACAGTCCATAGGATACAATAATATGAAGATAACTTTCTTTTATCTTTCTTACCTTCAGTTGTAGTTGCGACTGTAGTTGTTGAGGCTATTAAACATAAAAGTAGACACAAATCAGATCACAGAAAATTGCACTTTGAGTAAGACATGAATACAACAAAAATATACACAAACGATACATTGAATAAAATGAGTGAATCATATGATGTTTATGTGTTGTATGTTATATATTTGCTTATGATAGGTGATTTATACTTTGTTATGTTTGAGGTTCGTTGATATATCAAGAAATGCTGTGCGCGGGTTGAGACATTCATGAGCACGGATAAGTTTAACACCGATTAGTTCCGGATAACGCTCTCAAAGCAACAAACTTAAGCGTGGCAAATCGCGACATTTTACCGATTATGATACTTCCGCGCTACAAATAATCGAATATAAAACATAGATGATATTACTCCCGTTGTAAATAAAGGTAAACAAAAGAACTTTTGACTATAAACAAGTATCGCATAATCATCATTCCACCAATCAACTAAAACAAAATAAAATATTCAATTGTAGATGCCGACAATCATAAATAACAATTTTAAAGATAGAAAATAGCATTATCAACATAGAACTGCAACATTTGAACAAAACGAAAGATTACAGACGAGTTCAGTTCTCAAATAAACGTAAAACAATCATAAAGCACATACACAACATAAGACATACAAGCAAAAAACAAAACTAGAACAGAACAAATCTACATCAGCTCTTTTAAACATGCAACAACATTTTTACAAGACATCAGTACATTTAATAAAATACGAGACATTATCACAAGAAGGCAGCAGTTAAAATGGCTCTTGACGACGTCTAGCTACTTCATATATCACAATTATATATAGCAACGAAAATTAAATTTACAGTCCTTAAAACAAAAAGATTCATTTGTATATTGATATAATTACAGAAACAATATATGGTAACATGGGAGTCTTTTCCTTAACATTAAATTGCTAGAATGGTGAAATATGACAAAGAAAAGCAGCTTATACTGAACGACGACATTACAAAATTGATAAGTATTCACATACACAAAATCATCCACAAACAAAAATCAACGATTGAAATAATACAAAAATAGGTCAAGTGATAGTAAAATAATATTACGTAAATCTAGGAAAGTACAAGAAATAAAACAAACCAAACGAAACTGTATATCAAACATTAAGTTCAGAATAACAAAACGAAAGTTAGATAAAGAGCGTTTCGTGAGGCGAATCGTCAGTGATAAAACAAAGTGCAATATTAGAGAATATGTACAATTCAGGAACACAGTAAAAACAGTTAAAAATTACAGTAAGCCATAATGTACAGAATCGTATACCAGTGCTGGTCATTATTGTTGGTGTTAGTGTCGTTATTACTGATGATGTTAACATGGAAGTTTTTGTAGTCAAAGACACAGTAGTTGACACTGTTCCGGTAGTAGATGTTCCCGCTGTTGTAGTCAATAAAGATGTAGACGGGGTGGCTGTGGTCGTTGGTTGTGTTATCGTTCCTGGAACAAGATGAGACATTAAAACATCAATTGTTGTTATAGTTATATTACTTATGGTCTTGTTTTGATAACCAGTTTTCTTAGATTTTTAATCGGATACTGCTAGATAGCCTATTACAATAATTATCACAATACTACACCAGTTCTGGCCACTTCGGTTTTGACCGGCACCGTAGTACATGTTGCTTTGTTTTCTTTGCGCAAATCAAATTCTAAAATTGTTTTTGATGACATAAACATTATGAATACTTTGCTTTGTGGTGCGTTTAGAAATGTTGATTCTCTCTGCGGTCAACTTGGCAAATTCATTGTCTTAAACACAGGTGAACTATCATTTACTTTCAATCATATTTCAATGATGAACGAATCTACTGTTATCGTAATTACTGATTTATACGAAATATAATTACGCATGCTAATACCTCGAGTTTTTGTCTTTCTATGCAAAAACTGAAATATGATTTTCGTCTGCAACATTTGAAACAAAACAAACAGATTGTAGCTCGAATTCTGAATCATGCATGTCGGGGAAAAATAAAACGCCATACAGCCCGAAAAAAGCATATACAGCGATGAAAGAAATCTTTGTAGAACATGTAGTATTACAGGAGGCACACAATACTTATGGCCCCAAATTCCTTAGGTAAGACGTAACCGTTACCAACACCCTCGAAAAGTGACAAGCTTCAGAATATGTACACTTGACGGGTCTTTTGCAATTTCTTTGCATTCAAATTATCCAACTGATTGAATTTTGGGTTTAGTCCACTAGTGATACCTACCACTAGTTGACTTGAAGCCATGAGGAGGCTTTGCCAAAGGATGTTTTTATTCATTGAGAAGGTGTCACGAACCAGACATTTTGTGCATTTCAAGTTCTTTAGAAAATATTGAAACATTGACAATTATGAAATTCAATTAGTTTAAAGGTTATTATTTCTCCTTTGTAAAACGTATGTTTGACCCCTATCGACTTTTATTAGTTGACTCCTATATATCTCGACTTAGCCGAAGAACAGTACGCATTTTGTTTTGTTTTTTGTTTTTTTTTTTTGGGGGGGGAGGGGAGGGGGGTTATTAATATTGTAATGGAATGCTTTTATTTGATTATCAAATGTCATTTTCCAATGATATCCTATTGAGTGTTGAGTTTCTCGTGCATTTTAAAGCTAATTACATGGTCCCTGCAAATTTTATAACATCTGAATATTGTGTATGACAATCGCGTTCTTTAATGACAAATTGTACCTTTATCTAACACGAAAACTTGAACAAATTCAACGTCATATGTGATAAAGGAGTTATTTGCCTAGTATATTTATTTTCGAAGAAAACTAGAATTAGAACTTTATAAAAAAATCTTTATTGTGAAATTTAAACAGTGTTTAGCAAAGAAGTCAGGAAAAAAACATTACATGAAAGGAGCATTTTTGCTGAATATGGTTAATTATGATGTTATCATAGGTATTTGTCTAGTCTACTTACTTTTACCTTTGTAAATACTGTAAATAACCTACAGCAATTTAGTCAACACTACACAATATAGGCGTTTGTAAAAGCCAGTAAATGCGAAGTTTCAAAACGGTCATGCGGAAAACACACTCTTGGCATCAATTTAATATTGAGGTTTCATACTTTTTTCTCTTTATCATTACCATTTAGGAGATTTACAATATTTCTTTTTCCAAGCATAATTCTAAACGATGTGTTACTTGGCATACATCATTCGTCATTGTTTAACTTTCCCGTTCAATTTTCCATCCCTTTATATCAGTCAATCATTGTTACAAAATAACCTAAAATTTCGCACATTTGTGAACAAGTTAGTGTATCGTGTTAGTGTTTTTTTAACGACAGAATTTAAGCTAATGTTAATATATATTCCTTCACATTGCACAAAATGTCAATACGTTCATATCCATGTAAAAAAGCCAACGTGCCATGAATTCCCAGTGTATGCTATAATGTTTATACAAATTGCAAATAATGCATCATGCTATCTTTTTATTATGCCGATCACATTTTGGATGAAGATGGGCCTCAGGAATTGGTTAACGTTAAAACCTTTGTTTCTTTAGCTACCAAACACCGTGTCAATTTTAATGACATAGAAGTAAGCATGCTCCGTCCTTTCCTTTATATATCCTTAATAACATTATTCTATTAATTAATATATATTAACATTCAATTTTTCAGTGTGCGGAAGAGACATTCAAGAATGCATTAACATAATAGAGTCATTCAACATTTTAAATGTTTGAATAACTGTTTACTGATGAAGGTTTCATATCTATAAAATGTCAGTGAAATATAGGCAGTAGATGTATTAAGTTGAAGAAGTTTGTGCGTTTTTTCGACACGGGATAACTACGTATCTGAATAGAGGAACTCGTAGAAAGTGTACATGTAAAAAGAATTTAAACATCAATTTAAATTAATGACCAACATAGATTAGGCTATAAGATAAAAAAAAATCTGTATACGTATCTTTCTAGGTATCAAACAAGGCTACTGACGGTCTTGTATTTTCGCTATTTTGTCTTATCTTATGCTTCGCAAGGCACGTTACAATGTTATTATTAACTACATGTATGTTAATTAAATGGTATTTCCTTTGAATCATCTAACAGCTAGTAAATATGTTCTTTCAGCTACATACAGATAAATTCTGATTTAATACAAGTGAAAGAAAGTGGGTTATGTTCAAAGTCTACAAATGTGTAGTAATTGGTGGACTGGTGGATAGAGTGCCTGTTTTAAAAGTAAATATTCTTTTCAATTAATGCCCAACATAGATGAGACTGAAAAAAAACATCTATATGCATATATTTTTAGAAATAATTACGTCTTTTCGCTTTTTGCCTTTTTTGCATCTTATTTAATGCTTAGCGAGTAAATAAGTTCTTTCATCTATATGTATATATGGTTCATATCATAGAATTTCCTATGAATAATTTTACTGCTATGTGAATCTCTTTTTTTTTGTAAATGAATCAACTGAAAGTACCAGTGGTAAATGTGGTTACGGCCGGTGTTGTCGTTGTAGGCGCTGAACGTCTTGTTGATGATGTAGTGACAGTTGTTTCCCCTGTCACTGGTGTTGTTATCTGTGTACCAATGGTTGTGGTTACCTCTGTAGATGATAAAACAGTATCAACTTTAGGTATCGCGCAGCTTAGTCAATAAATATATAGACTACAATTTGGAATGGTGTGAAAAATAACAATTTCCTTAAATATCTCAGTTTCCCTTGGGGAAATATGTTTACGTTCTATTAATTAGCCACTGAGGTTCGTATTAAGTGGAGTTAATTGTCTTTACATATTTCAAATATTCGTAATAATGTTCATCTGATTCTTAAATAATTCATCAAAAAATGAAACAACGATTTGTTTTAAATCTCAATTATAACAAATGCTATATGCGATAATAGATCAACTAATTCTTACGAAATTCCGCGTTGTTTTCCGTTTCCAAAAATAGTCAATGCATGAGCTAATCACGAGATGTGGGAATTACCAGTATATCGGTAAAAATCGATAATATCCTTAACTAACCATGTAATGGTGGTAATATGTTGAAAGTGACGTATTACTTTGCTTTAATCATGATAATGCTTATAACATTTGCTGATACTTTGATATTAGATATGAAGCTAGTTGTCAGATTGTGGTCGGTGAGCATAACGGATAGCCGGTATTCTCAAAGCACGACCTTAATGCAATTATTTTGCTCTTACCTTGTTTTTCCATGCAACCAACTATTTTCGTTATTTGGAATATAGGCTCACTTCCATCAGTAGCAGGTGATATCAAGAATACCAATTCGTTCATATTTGTAATTTTGCCGTCAAAGTGAATGTCATTTGATGTGTTATCGGATGAAAACGTCGAAGTCTGGATAAAAAAAAAGGAGTAGAACATGACTTATAAACTAACTAAAACATCAAGATACGATATAATGATTCTTAATAAGATGATTTCACATTGAAAGTATAGTTTGTATTTAATGTACGTGATAAGTTATCATAACAGGAATGCAAAATTTTAATTAATTTTCAAAATTGTTACTTTCGTAGTCGCTGATTAAACAGGTGGACGTAAAACTATGAAATTAAACTATAGTCTAACAGATTGATTAAATGCATAAAACATTTATAATCCATCTAAAGAAACTCAGGAATCGTCGCATGTATTTATCGCGATAACGATTTTATACTTCTACTCCTGCACAAAAAAGAACATTACGGTATGAGTCTTTGGATTAGAAATGGTTATATTATGATGGTGTAACGGATCTGATCCAATTTTTCAAATACTTACCATGAGTGGTTTATCCTGATACATCACAGTATAGTTAAGTTCAGCAAAAGTCACAGATAAGGTATATAAGGTTGCGCTCTGGAAGTGTAGTGTCAGTTCCACTTGGTTGTCAGAGTTTCGTGCAGCTCCTGCTAGGTTACCGGAAGCCAATGGTGACGAATATTCTCCGTCGCTATCGGTAAGCAACACATATTCCTTGGCATTTATGCTTGTTACGATCGTTAATATACATGCTGAAAGTAAAATACAATACACTCTCATGGTCACACTCAGTCATTACATCAGGAAATTATCGATAAAATAAACGAAATGTGCTGTAACCTACTCTTAGAAATAAAGGCTGTCTAATATGAAATATGCCTATTTTTACCTTAAAAAACAAAATATGGAAAGGAGGGATCGATCAAAGTACCTTTTTTAAAATATCATGATTTTTAAAGAAATATATTGGATCTCTTCATATCCACTATAATTCAATTTATTTTGAGAAAGATCAACTAACATATTTAAAGGCTTTCTCTTTAACATGAACCAACATGGATCTTCCCAATATGACAGAAACAGAGTATGGCTGATTTTGTTATTATTTTTAGTTGGTTTAAGAAATGTTACGTACATTCTAGTTTGAATGCTGATGATATTATTGATATTAAAATATAAATAAGATCAAATGATTACATCTCGATGATGATTGTGAAATAATAATTTATATCTATGCTACAAAGATCACCCATTGACGTGTCATGCTAAATGCTTAGCAAGTAGGAAGGTAATATATATAGCTATATTCGTATCAGCAGAAGAAATATTCTGACCTGTTGATTCAAAACATGCCTCTATCTTCAGTTTTGAAATTTTCATTTTCTCTTGTTTGTCGTCGCCCTTTTTCAACGAAATAACGATTTCGTGACCTTTTGTGCCGTTAAAATTCACCGTAACCGTTCCTGTCGGTTGATCTGGACGCACCTTTAAATTGAAAAAGGAAATAATCGGAATGAGCAATAGACGTCAACCACTTAGATACATACATATCTATTAACTTTTTTGTAAGGAACCTAATTTGAAAATGACAAATTGCTAGACTATCTATTAAATTCTGAAAACGAAATCTGTTTAATATGACAACATTTAGAAATTCGGTCACAAACTTTCTGGGTCTCAAAAACTTGTTTTTTAATCGTTTGTCAGAGTCATGGGTTAAGCAGTATGAGCTCATTTTATCATGCACGAATGCACGTACATGCATTGCCTGTTTTGTTTGATAGCACTTCATGTGAGACAGCGTATTTTTCACAAAAGCTAATTCCTCAACACTCGCGCTGTCATTTAAGCAGTCAGTTTCTTTTAAACTATGGTGCGGGCATAACAGTTTGGTTTCCCTTGTTACAATATATTTTTTGTTTATCCACCAGGAATTTCCGACATCTCCCCATAAAGATCTTTACAACCTATGTTGATTCAAAATATCGAAACAAAAATATAGCCAAAAAATATTTCAATGTAAATGAAAAGTGTTTACTGTTGTTAAGCTTTTTCTATGAAATGTGTCTCGGATCATTTTAACCTAATCTGATGACGATCATCAGACAGTTGGTCTCCAAGTAAAATCTAAATAAAATTGAAAATTCACTCTGCGACGCTGATTGTGGTCTCGAGACCAGGTACTTCTCTAGTATTCATCTAGGTGCACACACACCAGCGACACCTCTTATTTGTTTTATCAGGATCGGCGGAAAATGCCAACTCTCCACTGACCCAAATGCTTCTCTTTATAATCCAACAGTACTCTCTCTGACTAATGGTGCAATAAAATCACCTGTCACGTTTATGCTATCGGTTTCCCTCCATCTAATGCCTGACACTATACATTTCCCTTCGGAGCATGATGGGCCCACTCATAAATGAATTTTGAATGACTAAAAGAGGCGCGGAATAGCTGTCAATGAAGTCACTTTATGTCATGAAAGGTCTTATGTGTGGTGATTTCTTAGACAAATACACTTCATCAAATACAATTTATACATTTTTTTGTGTGTTATTTTTTGTTCTTAATACATATCTTAGATATCATGTGCGACCATCCAGGTTTTCAATCGGTTTTACTCATTTACCAGTATGAAACTAAGAAATAAAAGAATAAAGGAAAAACTCTTTTCAAAGCTGAAAAAAAATGTATACACACTACGTTAAATTACCTTTCATCTACCTTATATATAAAGTTGAGTTATCAGTTGGTAATTTTCAAGTACTACAATGGTCAATTAATGATGGTCTTGTATATGTGAGGTTACCGTATATATTATACCTTTGACTCCCCTACAGTATTTCCGGTGTTAGTCCGTAATTCAACTATTACTTCATCAGTGTTATAGGTAACGAAGAAAACTTTAAACACAGGGTTATCAGCGGCTTCTGTATCTTTTAGTGCTGCCATAACAGTCTCCGTGTTATCATCAAGTTCTAATTCACTTATCAATGCATCTCCACCGTATTTCATTGTTTTGTTCAAAACTGTGATTTCGATATTCTGACTATTTTGCTCCATTTCGATAGTAGTATGAGCACATGCTGAAAAAGAATAATTATTGCGATGGTATTACATGAACTTAAGGTGAACATACAGATATATCAATAATGACACAATTCATATGTAGAGAAGACTCAATATCGCACTTAAAACAATGTGATTACCAACAACTGTTCGGAGTACATCTTGATTAGTTTAGATGATCTGAGCACACGTGGACATTGCACAAGGTTTATTTGTGGAGACATTCGCTATTGAATTAAAGTTCAAAGACGTCTGCTCCTCAAGATCCGCAATTTTGTTAACAATGCGGAAATATCAATTCATTATTCCCTACTTTAAAAATTCCAACAACCTAACGGCTCCTTTTCCTATTTATAGCAAGCTAATATCGGAATTTTCATATGTTACCCGATTATTGTACTTTGTAGCAAATAGCTGATAAAGTAACGGTACCGTAGCTGTATAGTTTTTAACAAGAAACTCGGAAGGTCGGGTGACGCAGTAGTGACGCACTCGCGTTTCACCTAGCCGTCAGGGGGTCGATTCCCGGAATGAATGTGAAAAGGTAAGGGATCACCTGCCCGACCACGTGGGATTTCCCCGGGTGCTCCGGTTTTCTCCCACATTAAGATCCTTCGCGCACTTCTATTTGTGCCATCAAGAGTGATTAATTTAAGTTGGTGAAACTTGCTTCGCAGTTGTTGTAAAATGAATAAAGCTCACTATCATTAAAGAAACAAGGAACTACAACAACCTCTCGATTCATGCTGGAGGGTTCAAAACTCAGTCGGGACATTGTACTTTTTTATTATAAAACTGGTGTACACCAAATGTTTTACCAAAATATATTGCTGATTCACCAAGACTATTGTATCTTTTGTCACAGAATCCCAGTATTGGGGAACAGTGGCATTTTGGATACGTTAACATATATTTGGCAATCGACGGTTTTCTTGTAATCGAATGAATATCTATATAGTAATCCGACTATTTCTGTTAATGACCGTAGCGACTGTACAACAACTGAACAGACATTCAAGAATACGAAGAGCTAATTAATATTTTCAGCGTTTTAATAATAATTTATTGATGAGGAAAGATAATTTCTGATCCACATAAGTGAAATAAAGTGGGTTTTTTTTAAAACCAAGTGCTACTTACGTGTAGTAATTGCTGGACTGGTGGATAGAGTGCCTGTTTTAAAAGTAAACATTCTTTTCAACTAATGCCCAACATAGATGAGACTGAAAAAAAACATCTATATGCATATATTTTTAGAAATAATTACGTCTTTTCGCTTTTTGCCTTTTTCTGCATCTTATTTAATGCTTAGCGAGTTAATAAGTTCTTTCATCTATATGTATATATGGTTCATATCATAGAATTTCCTATGAATAATTTTACTGCTATGTGTATCTCTTTTTTTGTAAATGAATCAGCTGAAAGTACCAGTGGTAAATGTGGTTACGGCCGGTGTTGTCGTTGTAGGCGCTGAACGTCTTGTTGATGATGTAGTGACAGTTGTTTCCCCTGTCACTGGTGTTGTTATCTGTGTACCAATGGTTGTGGTTACCTCTGTAGATGATAAAACAGTATCAACTTTAGGTATCGCGCAGCTTAGTCAATAAATATATAGACTACAATTTGGAATGGTGTGAAAAATAACAATTTCCTTTAAATATCTCAGTTTCCCTTGGGGAAATATGTTTACGTTCTATTAATTAGCCACTGAGGTTCGTATTAAGTGGAGTTAATTGTCTTTACATATTTCAAATATTCGTAATAATGTTCATCTGATTCTTAAATAATTCATCAAAAAATGAAACAACGATTTGTTTTAAATCTCAATTATAACAAATGCTATATGCGATAATAGATCAAGTAATTCTTACGAAATTCCGCGTTGTTTTCCGTTTCCAAAAATAGTCAATGCATGAGCTAATCACGAGATGTGGGAATTACCAGTATATCGGTAAAAATCGATAATATCCTTAACTAACCATGTAATGGTGGTAATATGTTGAAAGTGACGTATTACTTTGCTTTAATCATGATAATGCTTATAACATTTGCTGATACTTTGATATTAGATATGAAGCTAGTTGTCAGATTGTGGTCGGTGAGCATAACGGATAGCCGGTATTCTCAAAGCACGACCTTAATGCAATTATTTTGCTCTTACCTTGTTTTTCCATGCAACCAACTATTTTAGTTATTTGGAATATAGGCTCACTTCCATCAGTAGCAGGTGATATCAAGAATACCAATTCGTTCATATTTGTAATTTTGCCGTCAAAGTGAATGTCATTTGATGTGTTATCGGATGAAAACGTCGAAGTCTGGATAAAAAAAAGGAGTAGAACATGACTTATAAACTAACTAAAACATCAAGATACGATATAATGATTCTTAATAAGATGATTTCACATTGAAAGTATAGTTTGTATTTAATGTACGTGATAAGTTATCATAACAGGAATGCAAAATTTTAATTAATTTTCAAAATTGTTACTTTCGTAGTCGCTGATTAAACAGGTGGACGTAAAACTATGAAATTAAACTATAGTCTAACAGATTGATTAAATGCATAAAACATTTATAATCCATCTAAAGAAACTCAGGAATCGTCGCATGTATTTATCGCGATAACGATTTTATACTTCTACTCCTGCACAAAAAAGAACATTACGGTATGAGTCTTTGGATTAGAAATGGTTATATTATGATGGTGTAACGGATCTGATCCAATTTTTCAAATACTTACCATGAGTGGTTTATCCTGATACATCACAGTATAGTTAAGTTCAGCAAAAGTCACAGATAAGGTATATAAGGTTGCGCTCTGGAAGTGTAGTGTCAGTTCCACTTGGTTGTCAGAGTTTCGTGCAGCTCCTGCTAGGTTACCGGAAGCCAATGGTGACGAATATTCTCCGTCGCTATCGGTAAGCAACACATATTCCTTGGCATTTATGCTTGTTACGATCGTTAATATACATGCTGAAAGTAAAATACAATACACTCTCATGGTCACACTCAGTCATTACATCAGGAAATTATCGATAAAATAAACGAAATGTGCTGTAACCTACTCTTAGAAATAAAGGCTGTCTAATATGAAATATGCCTATTTTTACCTTAAAAAAACAAAATATGGAAAGGAGGGATCGATCAAAGTACCTTTTTTAAAATATCATGATTTTTAAAGAAATATATTGGATCTCTTCATATCCACTATAATTCAATTTATTTTGAGAAAGATCAACTAACATATTTAAAGGCTTTCTCTTTAACATGAACCAACATGGATCTTCCCAATATGACAGAAACAGAGTATGGCTGATTTTGTTATTATTTTTAGTTGGTTTAAGAAATGTTACGTACATTCTAGTTTGAATGCTGATGATATTATTGATATTAAAATATAAATAAGATCAAATGATTACATCTCGATGATGATTGTGAAATAATAATTTATATCTATGCTACAAAGATCACCCATTGACGTGTCATGCTAAATGCTTAGCAAGTAGGAAGGTAATATATATAGCTATATTCGTATCAGCAGAAGAAATATTCTGACCTGTTGATTCAAAACATGCCTCTATCTTCAGTTTTGAAATTTTCATTTTCTCTTGTTTGTCGTCGCCCTTTTTCAACGAAATAACGATTTCGTGACCTTTTGTGCCGTTAAAATTCACCGTAACCGTTCCTGTCGGTTGATCTGGACGCACCTTTAAATTGAAAAAGGAAATAATCGGAATGAGCAATAGACGTCAACCACTTAGATACATACATATCTATTAACTTTTTTGTAAGGAACCTAATTTGAAAATGACAAATTGCTAGACTATCTATTAAATTCTGAAAACGAAATCTGTTTAATATGACAACATTTAGAAATTCGGTCACAAACTTTCTGGGTCTCAAAAACTTGTTTTTTAATCGTTTGTCAGAGTCATGGGTTAAGCAGTATGAGCTCATTTTATCATGCACGAATGCACGTACATGCATTGCCTGTTTTGTTTGATAGCACTTCATGTGAGACAGCGTATTTTTCACAAAAGCTAATTCCTCAACACTCGCGCTGTCATTTAAGCAGTCAGTTTCTTTTAAACTATGGTGCGGGCATAACAGTTTGGTTTCCCTTGTTACAATATATTTTTTGTTTATCCACCAGGAATTTCCGACATCTCCCCATAAAGATCTTTACAACCTATGTTGATTCAAAATATCGAAACAAAAATATAGCCAAAAAATATTTCAATGTAAATGAAAAGTGTTTACTGTTGTTAAGCTTTTTCTATGAAATGTGTCTCGGATCATTTTAACCTAATCTGATGACGATCATCAGACAGTTGGTCTCCAAGTAAAATCTAAATAAAATTGAAAATTCACTCTGCGACGCTGATTGTGGTCTCGAGACCAGGTACTTCTCTAGTATTCATCTAGGTGCACACACACCAGCGACACCTCTTATTTGTTTTATCAGGATCGGCGGAAAATAGCTCTTCACCAACTCTCCACTGACCCAAATGCTTCTCTTTATAATCCAACAGTACTCTCTCTGACTAATGGTGCAATAAAATCACCTGTCACGTTTATGCTATCGGTTTCCCTCCATCTAATGCCTGACACTATACATTTCCCTTCGGAGCATGATGGGCCCACTCATAAATGAATTTTGAATGACTAAAAGAGGCGCGGAATAGCTGTCAATGAAGTCACTTTATGTCATGAAAGGTCTTATGCGTGGTGATTTCTTAGACAAATACACTTCATCAAATACAATTTATACATTTTTTGTGTGTTATTTTTTGTTCTTAATACATATCTTAGATATCATGTGCGACCATCCAGGTTTTCAATCGGTTTTACTCATTTACCAGTATGAAACTAAGAAATAAAAGAATAAAGGAAAAACTCTTTTCAAAGCTGAAAAAAAAATGTATACACACTACGTTAAATTACCTTTCATCTACCTTATATATAAAGTTGAGTTATCAGTTGGTAATTTTCAAGTACTACAATGGTCAATTAATGATGGTCTTGTATATGTGAGGTTACCGTATATATTATACCTTTGACTCCCCTACAGTATTTCCGGTGTTAGTCCGTAATTCAACTATTACTTCATCAGTGTTATAGGTAACGAAGAAAACTTTAAACACAGGGTTATCAGCGGCTTCTGTATCTTTTAGTGCTGCCATAACAGTCTCCGTGTTATCATCAAGTTCTAATTCACTTATCAATGCATCTCCACCGTATTTCATTGTTTTGTTCAAAACTGTGATTTCGATATTCTGACTATTTTGCTCCATTTCGATAGTAGTATGAGCACATGCTGAAAAAGAATAATTATTGCGATGGTATTACATGAACTTAAGGTGAACATACAGATATATCAATAATGACACAATTCATATGTAGAGAAGACTCAATATCGCACTTAAAACAATGTGATTACCAACAACTGTTCGGAGTACATCTTGATTAGTTTAGATGATCTGAGCACACGTGGACATTGCACAAGGTTTATTTGTGGAGACATTCGCTATTGAATTAAAGTTCAAAGACGTCTGCTCCTCAAGATCCGCAATTTTGTTAACAATGCGGAAATATCAATTCATTATTCCCTACTTTAAAAATTCCAACAACCTAACGGCTCCTTTTCCTATTTATAGCAAGCTAATATCGGAATTTTCATATGTTACCCGATTATTGTACTTTGTAGCAAATAGCTGATAAAGTAACGGTACCGTAGCTGTATAGTTTTTAACAAGAAACTCGGAAGGTCGGGTGACGCAGTAGTGACGCACTCGCGTTTCACCTAGCCGTCAGGGGGTCGATTCCCGGAATGAATGTGAAAAGGTAAGGGATCACCTGCCCGACCACGTGGGATTTCCCCGGGTGCTCCGGTTTTCTCCCACATTAAGATCCTTCGCGCACTTCTATTTGTGCCATCAAGAGTGATTAATTTAAGTTGGTGAAACTTGCTTCGCAGTTGTTGTAAAATGAATAAAGCTCACTATCATTAAAGAAACAAGGAACTACAACAACCTCTCGATTCATGCTGGAGGGTTCAAAACTCAGTCGGGACATTGTACTTTTTTATTATAAAACTGGTGTACACCAAATGTTTTACCAAAATATATTGCTGATTCACCAAGACTATTGTATCTTTTGTCACAGAATCCCAGTATTGGGGAACAGTGGCATTTTGGATACGTTAACATATATTTGGCAATCGACGGTTTTCTTGTAATCGAATGAATATCTATATAGTAATCCGACTATTTCTGTTAATGACCGTAGCGACTGTACAACAACTGAACAGACATTCAAGAATACGAAGAGCTAATTAATATTTTCAGCGTTTTAATAATAATTTATTGATGAGGAAAGATAATTTCTGATCCACACAAGTGAAATAAAGTGTTTTTTTTAAAACCAAGTGCTACTTACGTGTAGTAATTGCTGGACTGGTGGATAGAGTGCCTGTTTTAAAAGTAAACATTCTTTTCAACTAATGCCCAACATAGATGAGACTGAAAAAAAACATCTATATGCATATATTTTTAGAAATAATTACGTCTTTTCGCTTTTTGCCTTTTTCTGCATCTTATTTAATGCTTAGCGAGTTAATAAGTTCTTTCATCTATATGTATATATGGTTCATATCATAGAATTTCCTATGAATAATTTTACTGCTATGTGTATCTCTTTTTTTTTGTAAATGAATCAGCTGAAAGTACCAGTGGTAAATGTGGTTACGGCCGGTGTTGTCGTTGTAGGCGCTGAACGTCTTGTTGATGATGTAGTGACAGTTGTTTCCCCTGTCACTGGTGTTGTTATCTGTGTACCAATGGTTGTGGTTACCTCTGTAGATGATAAAACAGTATCAACTTTAGGTATCGCGCAGCTTAGTCAATAAATATATAGACTACAATTTGGAATGGTGTGAAAAATAACAATTTCCTTTAAATATCTCAGTTTCCCTTGGGGAAATATGTTTACGTTCTATTAATTAGCCACTGAGGTTCGTATTAAGTGGAGTTAATTGTCTTTACATATTTCAAATATTCGTAATAATGTTCATCTGATTCTTAAATAATTCATCAAAAAATGAAACAACGATTTGTTTTAAATCTCAATTATAACAAATGCTATATGCGATAATAGATCAAGTAATTCTTACGAAATTCCGCGTTGTTTTCCGTTTCCAAAAATAGTCAATGCATGAGCTAATCACGAGATGTGGGAATTACCAGTATATCGGTAAAAATCGATAATATCCTTAACTAACCATGTAATGGTGGTAATATGTTGAAAGTGACGTATTACTTTGCTTTAATCATGATAATGCTTATAACATTTGCTGATACTTTGATATTAGATATGAAGCTAGTTGTCAGATTGTGGTCGGTGAGCATAACGGATAGCCGGTATTCTCAAAGCACGACCTTAATGCAATTATTTTGCTCTTACCTTGTTTTTCCATGCAACCAACTATTTTAGTTATTTGGAATATAGGCTCACTTCCATCAGTAGCAGGTGATATCAAGAATACCAATTCGTTCATATTTGTAATTTTGCCGTCAAAGTGAATGTCATTTGATGTGTTATCGGATGAAAACGTCGAAGTCTGGATAAAAAAAGGAGTAGAACATGACTTATAAACTAACTAAAACATCAAGATACGATATAATGATTCTTAATAAGATGATTTCACATTGAAAGTATAGTTTGTATTTAATGTACGTGATAAGTTATCATAACAGGAATGCAAAATTTTAATTAATTTTCAAAATTGTTACTTTCGTAGTCGCTGATTAAACAGGTGGACGTAAAACTATGAAATTAAACTATAGTCTAACAGATTGATTAAATGCATAAAACATTTATAATCCATCTAAAGAAACTCAGGAATCGTCGCATGTATTTATCGCGATAACGATTTTATACTTCTACTCCTGCACAAAAAAAGAACATTACGGTATGAGTCTTTGGATTAGAAATGGTTATATTATGATGGTGTAACGGATCTGATCCAATTTTTCAAATACTTACCATGAGTGGTTTATCCTGATACATCACAGTATAGTTAAGTTCAGCAAAAGTCACAGATAAGGTATATAAGGTTGCGCTCTGGAAGTGTAGTGTCAGTTCCACTTGGTTGTCAGAGTTTCGTGCAGCTCCTGCTAGGTTACCGGAAGCCAATGGTGACGAATATTCTCCGTCGCTATCGGTAAGCAACACATATTCCTTGGCATTTATGCTTGTTACGATCGTTAATATACATGCTGAAAGTAAAATACAATACACTCTCATGGTCACACTCAGTCATTACATCAGGAAATTATCGATAAAATAAACGAAATGCGCTGTAACCTACTCTTAGAAATAAAGGCTGTCTAATATGAAATATACCTATTTTTACCTTAAAAAAACAAAATATGAGGGATCGATCAAAGTACCTTTTTTAAAATATCATGATTTTTAAAGAAATATATTGGATCTCTTCATATCCACTATAATTCAATTTATTTTGAGAAAGATCAACTAACATATTTAAAGGCTTTCTCTTTAACATGAACCAACATGGATCTTCCCAATATGACAGAAACAGAGTATGGCTGATTTTGTTATTATTTTTAGTTGGTTTAAGAAATGTTACGTACATTCTAGTTTGAATGCTGATGATATTATTGATATTAAAATATAAATAAGATCAAATGATTACATCTCGATGATGATTGTGAAATAATAATTTATATCTATGCTACAAAGAACACCCATTGACGTGTCATGCTAAATGCTTAGCAAGTAGGAAGGTAATATATATAGCTATATTCGTATCAGCAGAAGAAATATTCTGACCTGTTGATTCAAAACATGCCTCTATCTTCAGTTTTGAAATTTTCATTTTCTCTTGTTTGTCGTCGCCCTTTTTCAACGAAATAACGATTTCGTGACCTTTTGTGCCGTTAAAATTCACCGTAACCGTTCCTGTCGGTTGATCTGGACGCACCTTTAAATTGAAAAAGGAAATAATCGGAATGAGCAATAGACGTCAACCACTTAGATACATACATATCTATTAACTTTTTTGTAAGGAACCTAATTTGAAAATGACAAATTGCTAGACTATCTATTAAATTCTGAAAACGAAATCTGTTTAATATGACAACATTTAGAAATTCGGTCACAAACTTTCTGGGTCTCAAAAACTTGTTTTTTAATCGTTTGTCAGAGTCATGGGTTAAGCAGTATGAGCTCATTTTATCATGCACGAATGCACGTACATGCATTGCCTGTTTTGTTTGATAGCACTTCATGTGAGACAGCGTATTTTTCACAAAAGCTAATCCCTCAACACTCGCGCTGTCATTTAAGCAGTCAGTTTCTTTTAAACTATGGTGCGGGCATAACAGTTTGGTTTCCCTTGTTACAATATATTTTTTGTTTATCCACCAGGAATTTCCGACATCTCCCCATAAAGATCTTTACAACCTATGTTGATTAAAAATATCGAAACAAAAATATAGCCAAAAAATATTTCAATGTAAATGAAAAGTGTTTACTGTTGTTAAGCTTTTTCTATGAAATGTGTCTCGGATCATTTTAACCTAATCTGATGACGATCATCAGACAGTTGGTCTCCAAGTAAAATCTAAATAAAATTGAAAATTCACTCTGCGACGCTGATTGTGGTCTCGAGACCAGGTACTTCTCTAGTATTCATCTAGGTGCACACACACCAGCGACACCTCTTATTTGTTTTATCAGGATCGGCGGAAAATGCCTAGACAAATAGCTCTTCACCAACTCTCCACTGACCCAAATGCTTCTCTTTATAATCCAACAGTACTCTCTCTGACTAATGGTGCAATAAAATCACCTGTCACGTTTATGCTATCGGTTTCCCTCCATCTAATGCCTGACACTATACATTTCCCTTCGGAGCATGATGGGCCCACTCATAAATGAATTTTGAATGACTAAAAGAGGCGCGGAATAGCTGTCAATGAAGTCACTTTATGTCATGAAAGGTCTTATGCGTGGTGATTTCTTAGACAAATACACTTCATCAAATACAATTTATACATTTTTTGTGTGTTATTTTTTGTTCTTAATACATATCTTAGATATCATGTGCGACCATCCAGGTTTTCAATCGGTTTTACTCATTTACCAGTATGAAACTAAGAAATAAAAGAATAAAGGAAAAACTCTTTTCAAAGCTGAAAAAAAATGTATACACACTACGTTAAATTACCTTTCATCTACCTTATATATAAAGTTGAGTTATCAGTTGGTAATTTTCAAGTACTACAATGGTCAATTAATGATGGTCTTGTATATGTGAGGTTACCGTATATATTATACCTTTGACTCCCCTACAGTATTTCCGGTGTTAGTCCGTAATTCAACTATTACTTCATCAGTGTTATAGGTAACGAAGAAAACTTTAAACACAGGGTTATCAGCGGCTTCTGTATCTTTTAGTGCTGCCATAACAGTCTCCGTGTTATCATCAAGTTCTAATTCACTTATCAATGCATCTCCACCGTATTTCATTGTTTTGTTCAAAACTGTGATTTCGATATTCTGACTATTTTGCTCCATTTCGATAGTAGTATGAGCACATGCTGAAAAAGAATAATTATTGCGATGGTATTACATGAACTTAAGGTGAACATACAGATATATCAATAATGACACAATTCATATGTAGAGAAGACTCAATATCGCACTTAAAACAATGTGATTACCAACAACTGTTCGGAGTACATCTTGATTAGTTTAGATGATCTGAGCACACGTGGACATTGCACAAGGTTTATTTGTGGCGACATTCGCTATTGAATTAAAGTTCAAAGACGTCTGCTCCTCAAGATCCGCAATTTTGTTAACAATGCGGAAATATCAATTCATTATTCCCTACTTTAAAAATTCCAACAACCTAACGGCTCCTTTTCCTATTTATAGCAAGCTAATATCGGAATTTTCATATGTTACCCGATTATTGTACTTTGTAGCAAATAGCTGATAAAGTAACGGTACCGTAGCTGTATAGTTTTTAACAAGAAACTCGGAAGGTCGGGTGACGCAGTAGTGACGCACTCGCGTTTCACCTAGCCTTCAGGGGGTCGATTCCCGGAATGAATGTGAAAAGGTAAGGGATCACCTGCCCGACCACGTGGGATTTCCCCGGGTGCTCCGGTTTTCTCCTACATTAAGATCCTTCGCGCACTTCTATTTGTGCCATCAAGAGTGATTAATTTAAGTTGGTGAAACTTGCTTCGCAGTTGTTGTAAAATGAATAAAGCTCACTATCATTAAAGAAACAAGGAACTACAACAACCTCTCGATTCATGCTGGAGGGTTCAAAACTCAGTCGGGACATTGTACTTTTTTATTATAAAACTGGTGTACACCAAATGTTTTACCAAAATATATTGCTGATTCACCAAGACTATTGTATCTTTTGTCACAGAATCCCAGTATTGGGGAACAGTGGCATTTTGGATACGTTAACATATATTTGGCAATCGACGGTTTTCTTGTAATCGAATTAATATCTATATAGTAATCCGACTATTTCTGTTAATGACCGTAGCGACTGTACAACAACTGAACAGACATTCAAGAATACGAAGAGCTAATTAATATTTTCAGCGTTTTAATAATAATTTATTGATGAGGAAAGATAATTTCTGATCCACACAAGTGAAATAAAGTGGGTTTTTTAAAACCAAGTGCTACTTACGTGTAGTAATTGCTGGACTGGTGGATAGAGTGCCTGTTTTAAAAGTAAACATTCTTTTCAACTAATGCCCAACATAGATGAGACTGAAAAAAAACATCTATATGCATATATTTTTAGAAATAATTACGTCTTTTCGCTTTTTGCCTTTTTCTGCATCTTATTTAATGCTTAGCGAGTTAATAAGTTCTTTCATCTATATGTATATATGGTTCATATCATAGGATTTCCTATGAATAATTTTACTGCTATGTGAATCTCTTTTTTTTTGTAAATGAATCAGCTGAAAGTACCAGTGGTAAATGTGGTTACGGCCGGTGTTGTCGTTGTAGGCGCTGAACGTCTTGTTGATGATGTAGTGACAGTTGTTTCCCCTGTCACTGGTGTTGTTATCTGTGTACCAATGGTTGTGGTTACCTCTGTAGATGATAAAACAGTATCAACTTTAGGTATCGCGCAGCTTAGTCAATAAATATATAGACTACAATTTGGAATGGTGTGAAAAATAACAATTTCCTTTAAATATCTCAGTTTCCCTTGGGGAAATATGTTTACGTTCTATTAATTAGCCACTGAGGTTCGTATTAAGTGGAGTTAATTGTCTTTACATATTTCAAATATTCGTAATAATGTTCATCTGATTCTTAAATAATTCATCAAAAAATGAAACAACGATTTGTTTTAAATCTCAATTATAACAAATGCTATATGCGATAATAGATCAAGTAATTCTTACGAAATTCCGCGTTGTTTTCCGTTTCCAAAAATAGTCAATGCATGAGCTAATCACGAGATGTGGGAATTACCAGTATATCGGTAAAAATCGATAATATCCTTAACTAACCATGTAATGGTGGTAATATGTTGAAAGTGACGTATTACTTTGCTTTAATCATGATAATGCTTATAACATTTGCTGATACTTTGATATTAGATATGAAGCTAGTTGTCAGATTGTGGTCGGTGAGCATAACGGATAGCCGGTATTCTCAAAGCACGACCTTAATGCAATTATTTTGCTCTTACCTTGTTTTTCCATGCAACCAACTATTTTAGTTATTTGGAATATAGGCTCACTTCCATCAGTAGCAGGTGATATCAAGAATACCAATTCGTTCATATTTGTAATTTTGCCGTCAAAGTGAATGTCATTTGATGTGTTATCGGATGAAAACGTCGAAGTCTGGATAAAAAAAGGAGTAGAACATGACTTATAAACTAACTAAAACATCAAGATACGATATAATGATTCTTAATAAGATGATTTCACATTGAAAGTATAGTTTGTATTTAATGTACGTGATAAGTTATCATAACAGGAATGCAAAATTTTAATTAATTTTCAAAATTGTTACTTTCGTAGTCGCTGATTAAACAGGTGGACGTAAAACTATGAAATTAAACTATAGTCTAACAGATTGATTAAATGCATAAAACATTTATAATCCATCTAAAGAAACTCAGGAATCGTCGCATGTATTTATCGCGATAACGATTTTATACTTCTACTCCTGCACAAAAAACGAACATTACGGTATGAGTCTTTGGATTAGAAATGGTTATATTATGATGATGGTGTAACGGATCTGATCCAATTTTTCAAATACTTACCATGAGTGGTTTATCCTGATACATCACAGTATAGTTAAGTTCAGCAAAAGTCACAGATAAGGTATATAAGGTTGCGCTCTGGAAGTGTAGTGTCAGTTCCACTTGGTTGTCAGAGTTTCGTGCAGCTCCTGCTAGGTTACCGGAAGCCAATGGTGACGAATATTCTCCGTCGCTATCGGTAAGCAACACATATTCCTTGGCATTTATGCTTGTTACGATCGTTAATATACATGCTGAAAGTAAAATACAATACACTCTCATGGTCACACTCAGTCATTACATCAGGAAATTATCGATAAAATAAACGAAATGCGCTGTAACCTATTCTTAGAAATAAAGGCTGTCTAATATGAAATATACCTATTTTTACCTTAAAAAAACAAAATATGAGGGATCGATCAAAGTACCTTTTTTAAAATATCATGATTTTTAAAGAAATATATTGGATCTCTTCATATCCACTATAATTCAATTTATTTTGAGAAAGATCAACTAACATATTTAAAGGCTTTCTCTTTAACATGAACCAACATGGATCTTCCCAATATGACAGAAACAGAGTATGGCTGATTTTGTTATTATTTTTAGTTGGTTTAAGAAATGTTACGTACATTCTAGTTTGAATGCTGATGATATTATTGATATTAAAATATAAATAAGATCAAATGATTACATCTCGATGATGATTGTGAAATAATAATTTATATCTATGCTACAAAGAACACCCATTGACGTGTCATGCTAAATGCTTAGCAAGTAGGAAGGTAATATATATAGCTATATTCGTATCAGCAGAAGAAATATTCTGACCTGTTGATTCAAAACATGCCTCTATCTTCAGTTTTGAAATTTTCATTTTCTCTTGTTTGTCGTCGCCCTTTTTCAACGAAATAACGATTTCGTGACCTTTTGTGCCGTTAAAATTCACCGTAACCGTTCCTGTCGGTTGATCTGGACGCACCTTTAAATTGAAAAAGGAAATAATCGGAATGAGCAATAGACGTCAACCACTTAGATACATACATATCTATTAACTTTTTTGTAAGGAACCTAATTTGAAAATGACAAATTGCTAGACTATCTATTAAATTCTGAAAACGAAATCTGTTTAATATGACAACATTTAGAAATTCGGTCACAAACTTTCTGGGTCTCAAAAACTTGTTTTTTAATCGTTTGTCAGAGTCATGGGTTAAGCAGTATGAGCTCATTTTATCATGCACGAATGCACGTACATGCATTGCCTGTTTTGTTTGATAGCACTTCATGTGAGACAGCGTATTTTTCACAAAAGCTAATCCCTCAACACTCGCGCTGTCATTTAAGCAGTCAGTTTCTTTTAAACTATGGTGCGGGCATAACAGTTTGGTTTCCCTTGTTACAATATATTTTTTGTTTATCCACCAGGAATTTCCGACATCTCCCCATAAAGATCTTTACAACCTATGTTGATTAAAAATATCGAAACAAAAATATAGCCAAAAAATATTTCAATGTAAATGAAAAGTGTTTACTGTTGTTAAGCTTTTTCTATGAAATGTGTCTCGGATCATTTTAACCTAATCTGATGACGATCATCAGACAGTTGGTCTCCAAGTAAAATCTAAATAAAATTGAAAATTCACTCTGCGACGCTGATTGTGGTCTCGAGACCAGGTACTTCTCTAGTATTCATCTAGGTGCACACACACCAGCGACACCTCTTATTTGTTTTATCAGGATCGGCGGAAAATGCCTAGACAAATAGCTCTTCACCAACTCTCCACTGACCCAAATGCTTCTCTTTATAATCCAACAGTACTCTCTCTGACTAATGGTGCAATAAAATCACCTGTCACGTTTATGCTATCGGTTTCCCTCCATCTAATGCCTGACACTATACATTTCCCTTCGGAGCATGATGGGCCCACTCATAAATGAATTTTGAATGACTAAAAGAGGCGCGGAATAGCTGTCAATGAAGTCACTTTATGTCATGAAAGGTCTTATGCGTGGTGATTTCTTAGACAAATACACTTCATCAAATACAATTTATACATTTTTTGTGTGTTATTTTTTGTTCTTAATACATATCTTAGATATCATGTGCGACCATCCAGGTTTTCAATCGGTTTTACTCATTTACCAGTATGAAACTAAGAAATAAAAGAATAAAGGAAAAACTCTTTTCAAAGCTGAAAAAAAATGTATACACACTACGTTAAATTACCTTTCATCTACCTTATATATAAAGTTGAGTTATCAGTTGGTAATTTTCAAGTACTACAATGGTCAATTAATGATGGTCTTGTATATGTGAGGTTACCGTATATATTATACCTTTGACTCCCCTACAGTATTTCCGGTGTTAGTCCGTAATTCAACTATTACTTCATCAGTGTTATAGGTAACGAAGAAAACTTTAAACACAGGGTTATCAGCGGCTTCTGTATCTTTTAGTGCTGCCATAACAGTCTCCGTGTTATCATCAAGTTCTAATTCACTTATCAATGCATCTCCACCGTATTTCATTGTTTTGTTCAAAACTGTGATTTCGATATTCTGACTATTTTGCTCCATTTCGATAGTAGTATGAGCACATGCTGAAAAAGAATAATTATTGCGATGGTATTACATGAACTTAAGGTGAACATACAGATATATCAATAATGACACAATTCATATGTAGAGAAGACTCAATATCGCACTTAAAACAATGTGATTACCAACAACTGTTCGGAGTACATCTTGATTAGTTTAGATGATCTGAGCACACGTGGACATTGCACAAGGTTTATTTGTGGAGACATTCGCTATTGAATTAAAGTTCAAAGACGTCTGCTCCTCAAGATCCGCAATTTTGTTAACAATGCGGAAATATCAATTCATTATTCCCTACTTTAAAAATTCCAACAACCTAACGGCTCCTTTTCCTATTTATAGCAAGCTAATATCGGAATTTTCATATGTTACCCGATTATTGTACTTTGTAGCAAATAGCTGATAAAGTAACGGTACCGTAGCTGTATAGTTTTTAACAAGAAACTCGGAAGGTCGGGTGACGCAGTAGTGACGCACTCGCGTTTCACCTAGCCTTCAGGGGGTCGATTCCCGGAATGAATGTGAAAAGGTAAGGGATCACCTGCCCGACCACGTGGGATTTCCCCGGGTGCTCCGGTTTTCTCCTACATTAAGATCCTTCGCGCACTTCTATTTGTGCCATCAAGAGTGATTAATTTAAGTTGGTGAAACTTGCTTCGCAGTTGTTGTAAAATGAATAAAGCTCACTATCATTAAAGAAACAAGGAACTACAACAACCTCTCGATTCATGCTGGAGGGTTCAAAACTCAGTCGGGACATTGTACTTTTTTATTATAAAACTGGTGTACACCAAATGTTTTACCAAAATATATTGCTGATTCACCAAGACTATTGTATCTTTTGTCACAGAATCCCAGTATTGGGGAACAGTGGCATTTTGGATACGTTAACATATATTTGGCAATCGACGGTTTTCTTGTAATCGAATTAATATCTATATAGTAATCCGACTATTTCTGTTAATGACCGTAGCGACTGTACAACAACTGAACAGACATTCAAGAATACGAAGAGCTAATTAATATTTTCAGCGTTTTAATAATAATTTATTGATGAGGAAAGATAATTTCTGATCCACACAAGTGAAATAAAGTGGGTTTTTTAAAACCAAGTGCTACTTACGTGTAGTAATTGCTGGACTGGTGGATAGAGTGCCTGTTTTAAAAGTAAACATTCTTTTCAACTAATGCCCAACATAGATGAGACTGAAAAAAAACATCTATATGCATATATTTTTAGAAATAATTACGTCTTTTCGCTTTTTGCCTTTTTCTGCATCTTATTTAATGCTTAGCGAGTTAATAAGTTCTTTCATCTATATGTATATATGGTTCATATCATAGAATTTCCTATGAATAATTTTACTGCTATGTGAATCTCTTTTTTTTTGTAAATGAATCAGCTGAAAGTACCAGTGGTAAATGTGGTTACGGCCGGTGTTGTCGTTGTAGGCGCTGAACGTCTTGTTGATGATGTAGTGACAGTTGTTTCCCCTGTCACTGGTGTTGTTATCTGTGTACCAATGGTTGTGGTTACCTCTGTAGATGATAAAACAGTATCAACTTTAGGTATCGCGCAGCTTAGTCAATAAATATATAGACTACAATTTGGAATGGTGTGAAAAATAACAATTTCCTTTAAATATCTCAGTTTCCCTTGGGGAAATATGTTTACGTTCTATTAATTAGCCACTGAGGTTCGTATTAAGTGGAGTTAATTGTCTTTACATATTTCAAATATTCGTAATAATGTTCATCTGATTCTTAAATAATTCATCAAAAAATGAAACAACGATTTGTTTTAAATCTCAATTATAACAAATGCTATATGCGATAATAGATCAAGTAATTCTTACGAAATTCCGCGTTGTTTTCCGTTTCCAAAAATAGTCAATGCATGAGCTAATCACGAGATGTGGGAATTACCAGTATATCGGTAAAAATCGATAATATCCTTAACTAACCATGTAATGGTGGTAATATGTTGAAAGTGACGTATTACTTTGCTTTAATCATGATAATGCTTATAACATTTGCTGATACTTTGATATTAGATATGAAGCTAGTTGTCAGATTGTGGTCGGTGAGCATAACGGATAGCCGGTATTCTCAAAGCACGACCTTAATGCAATTATTTTGCTCTTACCTTGTTTTTCCATGCAACCAACTATTTTAGTTATTTGGAATATAGGCTCACTTCCATCAGTAGCAGGTGATATCAAGAATACCAATTCGTTCATATTTGTAATTTTGCCGTCAAAGTGAATGTCATTTGATGTGTTATCGGATGAAAACGTCGAAGTCTGGATAAAAAAAGGAGTAGAACATGACTTATAAACTAACTAAAACATCAAGATACGATATAATGATTCTTAATAAGATGATTTCACATTGAAAGTATAGTTTGTATTTAATGTACGTGATAAGTTATCATAACAGGAATGCAAAATTTTAATTAATTTTCAAAATTGTTACTTTCGTAGTCGCTGATTAAACAGGTGGACGTAAAACTATGAAATTAAACTATAGTCTAACAGATTGATTAAATGCATAAAACATTTATAATCCATCTAAAGAAACTCAGGAATCGTCGCATGTATTTATCGCGATAACGATTTTATACTTCTACTCCTGCACAAAAAACGAACATTACGGTATGAGTCTTTGGATTAGAAATGGTTATATTATGATGATGGTGTAACGGATCTGATCCAATTTTTCAAATACTTACCATGAGTGGTTTATCCTGATACATCACAGTATAGTTAAGTTCAGCAAAAGTCACAGATAAGGTATATAAGGTTGCGCTCTGGAAGTGTAGTGTCAGTTCCACTTGGTTGTCAGAGTTTCGTGCAGCTCCTGCTAGGTTACCGGAAGCCAATGGTGACGAATATTCTCCGTCGCTATCGGTAAGCAACACATATTCCTTGGCATTTATGCTTGTTACGATCGTTAATATACATGCTGAAAGTAAAATACAATACACTCTCATGGTCACACTCAGTCATTACATCAGGAAATTATCGATAAAATAAACGAAATGCGCTGTAACCTATTCTTAGAAATAAAGGCTGTCTAATATGAAATATACCTATTTTTACCTTAAAAAAACAAAATATGAGGGATCGATCAAAGTACCTTTTTTAAAATATCATGATTTTTAAAGAAATATATTGGATCTCTTCATATCCACTATAATTCAATTTATTTTGAGAAAGATCAACTAACATATTTAAAGGCTTTCTCTTTAACATGAACCAACATGGATCTTCCCAATATGACAGAAACAGAGTATGGCTGATTTTGTTATTATTTTTAGTTGGTTTAAGAAATGTTACGTACATTCTAGTTTGAATGCTGATGATATTATTGATATTAAAATATAAATAAGATCAAATGATTACATCTCGATGATGATTGTGAAATAATAATTTATATCTATGCTACAAAGAACACCCATTGACGTGTCATGCTAAATGCTTAGCAAGTAGGAAGGTAATATATATAGCTATATTCGTATCAGCAGAAGAAATATTCTGACCTGTTGATTCAAAACATGCCTCTATCTTCAGTTTTGAAATTTTCATTTTCTCTTGTTTGTCGTCGCCCTTTTTCAACGAAATAACGATTTCGTGACCTTTTGTGCCGTTAAAATTCACCGTAACCGTTCCTGTCGGTTGATCTGGACGCACCTTTAAATTGAAAAAGGAAATAATCGGAATGAGCAATAGACGTCAACCACTTAGATACATACATATCTATTAACTTTTTTGTAAGGAACCTAATTTGAAAATGACAAATTGCTAGACTATCTATTAAATTCTGAAAACGAAATCTGTTTAATATGACAACATTTAGAAATTCGGTCACAAACTTTCTGGGTCTCAAAAACTTGTTTTTTAATCGTTTGTCAGAGTCATGGGTTAAGCAGTATGAGCTCATTTTATCATGCACGAATGCACGTACATGCATTGCCTGTTTTGTTTGATAGCACTTCATGTGAGACAGCGTATTTTTCACAAAAGCTAATTCCTCAACACTCGCGCTGTCATTTAAGCAGTCAGTTTCTTTTAAACTATGGTGCGGGCATAACAGTTTGGTTTCCCTTGTTACAATATATTTTTTGTTTATCCACCAGGAATTTCCGACATCTCCCCATAAAGATCTTTACAACCTATGTTGATTAAAAATATCGAAACAAAAATATAGCCAAAAAATATTTCAATGTAAATGAAAAGTGTTTACTGTTGTTAAGCTTTTTCTATGAAATGTGTCTCGGATCATTTTAACCTAATCTGATGACGATCATCAGACAGTTGGTCTCCAAGTAAAATCTAAATAAAATTGAAAATTCACTCTGCGACGCTGATTGTGGTCTCGAGACCAGGTACTTCTCTAGTATTCATCTAGGTGCACACACACCAGCGACACCTCTTATTTGTTTTATCAGGATCGGCGGAAAATGCCAGACAAATAGCTCCACCAACTCTCCACTGACCCAAATGCTTCTCTTTATAATCCAACAGTACTCTCTCTGACTAATGGTGCAATAAAATCACCTGTCACGTTTATGCTATCGGTTTCCCTCCATCTAATGCCTGACACTATACATTTCCCTTCGGAGCATGATGGGCCCACTCATAAATGAATTTTGAATGACTAAAAGAGGCGCGGAATAGCTGTCAATGAAGTCACTTTATGTCATGAAAGGTCTTATGTGTGGTGATTTCTTAGTACACTTCATCAAATACAATTTATACATTTTTTTGTGTGTTATTTTTTGTTCTTAATACATATCTTAGATATCATGTGCGACCATCCAGGTTTTCAATCGGTTTTACTCATTTACCAGTATGAAACTAAGAAATAAAAGAATAAAGGAAAAACTCTTTTCAAAGCTGAAAAAAAAATGTATACACACTACGTTAAATTACCTTTCATCTACCTTATATATAAAGTTGAGTTATCAGTTGGTAATTTTCAAGTACTACAATGGTCAATTAATGATGGTCTTGTATATGTGAGGTTACCGTATATATTATACCTTTGACTCCCCTACAGTATTTCCGGTGTTAGTCCGTAATTCAACTATTACTTCATCAGTGTTATAGGTAACGAAGAAAACTTTAAACACAGGGTTATCAGCGGCTTCTGTATCTTTTAGTGCTGCCATAACAGTCTCCGTGTTATCATCAAGTTCTAATTCACTTATCAATGCATCTCCACCGTATTTCATTGTTTTGTTCAAAACTGTGATTTCGATATTCTGACTATTTTGCTCCATTTCGATAGTAGTATGAGCACATGCTGAAAAAGAATAATTATTGCGATGGTATTACATGAACTTAAGGTGAACATACAGATATATCAATAATGACACAATTCATATGTAGAGAAGACTCAATATCGCACTTAAAACAATGTGATTACCAACAACTGTTCGGAGTACATCTTGATTAGTTTAGATGATCTGAGCACACGTGGACATTGCACAAGGTTTATTTGTGGAGACATTCGCTATTGAATTAAAGTTCAAAGACGTCTGCTCCTCAAGATCCGCAATTTTGTTAACAATGCGGAAATATCAATTCATTATTCCCTACTTTAAAAATTCCAACAACCTAACGGCTCCTTTTCCTATTTATAGCAAGCTAATATCGGAATTTTCATATGTTACCCGATTATTGTACTTTGTAGCAAATAGCTGATAAAGTAACGGTACCGTAGCTGTATAGTTTTTAACAAGAAACTCGGAAGGTCGGGTGACGCAGTAGTGACGCACTCGCGTTTCACCTAGCCGTCAGGAGGTCGATTCCCGGAATGAATGTGAAAAGGTAAGGGATCACCTGCCCGACCACGTGGGATTTCCCCGGGTACTCCGGTTTCCTCCCACATTAAGATCCTTCGCGCACTTCTATTTGTGCCATCAAGAGTGATTAATTTAAGTTGGTGAAACTTGCTTCGCAGTTGTTGTAAAATGAATAAAGCTCACTATCATTAAAGAAACAAGGAACTACAACAACCTCTCGATTCATGCTGGAGGGTTCAAAACTCAGTCGGGACATTGTACTTTTTTTATTATAAAACTGGTGTACACCAAATGTTTTACCAAAATATATTGCTGATTCACCAAGACTATTGTATCTTTTGTCACAGAATCCCAGTATTGGGGAACAGTGGCATTTTGGATACGTTAACATATATTTGGCAATCGACGGTTTTCTTGTAATCGAATGAATATCTATATAGTAATCCGACTATTTCTGTTAATGACCGTAGCGACTGTACAACAACTGAACAGACATTCAAGAATACGAAGAGCTAATTAATATTTTCAGCGTTTTAATAATAATTTATTGATGAGGAAAGATAATTTCTGATCCACACAAGTGAAATAAAGTGGGTTTTTTAAAACCAAGTGCTACTTACGTGTAGTAATTGCTGGACTGGTGGATAGAGTGCCTGTTTTAAAAGTAAACATTCTTTTCAACTAATGCCCAACATAGATGAGACTGAATCAAAACATTTATATGCATTTATTTTTAGAAATCATTACGTCTTTTCGGTTTTTGCCTTTTTTGCATCTTATTTAATGCTTAGCGAGTAAATAAGTTCTTTCATCTATATGTATATATGGTTTTCCTATGAATAATTTTACTGCTATATGAATCTCTTTTTTTTTTTTTGTAAATGAATCAACTGAAAGTACCAGTGGTAAATGTGGTTACGGCCGGTGTTGTCGTTGTAGGCGCTGAACTTCTTGTTGATGATGTAGTGACAGTTGTTTCCCCTGTCACTGGTGTTGTAACCTGTGTACCAATGGTTGTGGTTACCTCTGTAGATGATAAAACAGTATCAACTTTAGGTATCGCGCAGCTTAGTCAATAAATATATAGCCTACAAACAACCTCACTTTCCAAGGGGATAATACTCTGTCCTATGTAACAACGATCTATCTCGAATTTCTCACTAACAACAGTATTCACTCACTGGACTGGCCATCATACAGTCGCGGCCTATCCCTTATTTAGCACTGAGGGGACCAGCTAGATAATCAAGTACGACCCCCCCCCCCCCCTTCCCCCTTTGTTACTCTGGCCCAACAGAGAACAGCCCTCTTGGAAGAATGGGCCAACATCCCAATGAGAAGGATAAACTCAATCATGAACTCCATGCCTGAGAGAATCAGGGCAGTGGCTAGAGCCAATAGGGAAAATACCCGTTATTGAATAGCCAGCTCCCACAATCAGTCCATCTCGATTTCAGATCACAGAGATCAATCCCTTCAATTACTCCTAAATCTCTTACCAAGTACAAATCGTTAATTTTGCAGTTTGTTTTGTATGGATAAATCTTCACTATGTCTTTAAAATATTGAACATTATACTCGATGTCTTGCCCAATATCATGTTCAAATTTTACCATGAGATTTTTCATCAGTTGAGTATAGTCACCTGGCTATGAATGTAATGTGCTCCAATTGTCTAGCCCAAAACATATATGATATTGCAGACAAAAAGTCGTAGCTCGTGTGGCTTCAGTTCGTTAAAATCACCCTCAGTTCCTTGTATGGATACCGACGATGATTAAAAATATACAGGATCTCGAACTGATTCAAAGTTGTAGACGTTAATATATCAAAGTACTATACTGCGTCTTCTGATTACCACGAGACGTCGTAGGAATGTACAAGCTATTTCGTCAGAAAGAAGCTAAATTTGTAATATTGCGATGTATAGGTTCGAAATCTTTGATATTTCTGTATATTGATGTAATCTATTGTACTTTAAAAGGTCTCAAAGTGAACAATGATGTCCTTATATGTCATGAATCAAACTAAGTTAAATGACAAGTAATAACTGTATGTACCTTGTGATGATGGTAGTGTTGAAGTTTGTGGTAATGTCGATGATGTACTCACTGCTGTGGAAACACCCCCACCTAGAATTCATAGGCAAGAGTTAGAAAGTATTCCTCCTCACGATAATCAATTGAAAAATAGTTATATATGGAACTGTGTTTCTTGTGAACAGATATATGGGTATACATTCTGATGACTATATCAATGCCGAAGGGTACTTCAGTTTCTATCGGGAAGAAAATTATACATATTATGTATATATGTTGAGTAACGTGTTGTGTATAAAGCTAATCGAATTCGATGGAATAGAAGGGGTTCAAAGTTCCTGGCATAGTTCTTCTTATCTGTTATGTGGAACATCAAGTACCTTGTGTAACTTCAGAAGGAGTTTCAAACATGTTTGCTGTTGTCGACTGACTGCTGGTTAGTGCTGCTGTGGTTGTGACGGCTGTTTCTATTAATATAATATTTTCAAAGCAAGTGTAGTAGAATGCGAAATGAAATGAACTGTAAATACATGTAACGTGGTTAATGTTTGTGTGCCGAACACTATGATTGACTGCTGACAGATGCACATGAAATTCAATGTTTGTTTTGATGTTCTTCTTCAATTAACAGACTTACGAAAATTACTAAATTCAATAAATGATGGTATAGGATCGGTATGAATACGAAAATGATAATAAATAATGTATGAAATAAACCCATGCGATACTACGGCATTTTCTGTTAATGTTAGTGGAGGTGGCATGGTTACCGTCATTGTTGTTGACCCTAAAAATATGAGTACAAACCGCATGGACAATATAAACACTTCAACAGAATAGTAATGCAACCTCAAACTTCATACAACTAGTAACGAAATATGTTACCGACGATGTTGTTATTCCTTCAGGTGTAATGTACATTGTTTAAGGACAAAAAGTGTTTTCGTCAGAGAATACAACTGAGACATACAGCCTGTGTTGAAAAGTGTAACGGCAGTTGCCAACATTTGTTCATGGAAGCGTAATTGGAAACGATATGTAGACACACACTTGACATGTAAACTCTAAAAGTTGGAGAAGCCAAGTTATTTGCCTAATGTGAATCGAATATCATAACAGTTTTCTGGCAACTCGGTAGCTTCATTGTAAGTAGAGACACAGATATTTAATTGATGTAGAAAATAACTCACTTGTATTTCAAAATTGAAAGACGATACACATCATGCTTGAAATTCATTCAGCATCACAAGAATTACATTTACGTTCAATGTTACATACCTTTTTCAGTTGTAGTTAAAAATGTTGTTCTACCGTGAGTTTCACCTGTCCCTGATGTTGTCGACATACCAGTTGTTTCTGTAATACAAAAACCAGGTGTCACACATGTTTCACGAAAGTAAAGACATGGTTATATTATTATGCCGTAGTTAGGATAAATGCATAATAGGAAATAAGCTAAATGGAAAAAGATGCAAACCGAAACCAATTATGCATTATGATTGTTCTTATTCATTATTTTAGTCTCTTTCATAATCGCTCCCACATTTACTGAATATAAACTAGCATTTTGTATGATGAAATTTCATACGAAAATTTTGTGTTGGAGAGGGAGATATTATTCATAAAATCCGGTAGTCTTATATTCTGAAATATCTGTGGTGCCTCGAAAATGATAGCAAAACAAAAAGTATTGATTGATCATCCAGAAAAAGATAATTAGTTTAAAATAGCAGCGTGAACTGTATTTTAAAGCAGAATTAACTGGCAGTTTTAGTACTCATACCAGTAGTTTTTGATTTCGTTGAAAGGGTAGTTGATTCAGTCGATGATGACGTCACTAGAGGAGGAGTAGGGATTGTAACTTTTTCTGTTGTAGTTGAACCTGTGATGTAGACAGTTCACAATTGCATTTTATATCCACGTGACATCAATCTTTCGTCAATCTCATCAATAGTAAATAAACGGATATATCAGCAACAAGATATTTTGACATGATATTTTAACAGATATGGTTTTACCATTTTTATTAAACAGTCATTTACCCTGGCTAGCTGTTGTCAGAATTGTTGTTTTACCAGCTGTGGCTCCTGTGCCAACGGTTGTCGACGATTGCGACACAGTACTGGAAAAGGTCGATGCAGAAGTTGTTTGGATTGTTGTCTCAGTTGTCGGTTTTGTTGTCGATCCTTGTATTTAAAAAACGTTTTTGCATTAGACACATAATAAAGACATTTCATCGATATCCATTTGATGATCCTAAACTTAAGTTATAAGTTATAAGCGGCAGAGTAAAAGTAGCATGAGTTAAGTTGATACACCTTTTGTATTCAGATGTCTCTCAATTGGAGTTGTCTGGAGATATGTGCTACTAACCCAATTTTAAATCGACTGGATTTAACCTTTTCTTCGTCGGTCAAATGTGATATCACCATATCAGAAATATGAACAACATAATCACATTTTGCTGTAGGAGATATACATCCTGTCTTTTTAAATTAATTAGAACTTAATCGTTAATAGTTTGGAAAAGTATGTTTATATCCAGGAATATAAAGTAATGTTTGATATATTTGGTTCCACTTTCACAATTAATTTATAATATGGACTATAAACAATAGAACACATATGTGATGTATATGGGCAAACTGTATAGTACGGCGATCTTAGTGATCAATAATATCCAGGTGTTGCTGTAGTTGTTGATGATTATGTGAACTGTTGATTGTGGCATTGTTTTGATTTAGATGTTGTTTATGACTCAGTTGACATTTAAATAATGGCAATTAGCAGATCATTAACTGATGCCTATTCATGTTGGTATATGTGCCTGTATGATGTGGGCGTAATATCTGTGTATTGCATGTCACCTCCTTGTCAATGAAATACAATGCAAATTTGATATCAAAACTCACTTTCTCTACTGTAATGCATTGAAAATTATTGGATGGATCACTTGAAAATTATCCATTTTTGGATTAAGCTGTGTTCGCTCGTTTGATAAATGTTCTTGTAGTTAGACGCTTGAATTTATTTTTTGCAGTTGGTAGAGATACGTTCATCATGAACATCATTAGGAATTTTGCTTATTGCAAACGAAGATAACATGTTCCTAATTCTGTATTCTTCCATTTATCAATGGTTAGTTTGTTGTATATCACATTGTTTAACCAGTTCTTATTGCAACAGGAAAATTCGATATTATATGACATGATTGGAAAATGTATTGAATTAGACATTATAATTTTCTTAGGATTATACAAATTATTTCAAACGCAATGTTTCTAAGTAATATTTTAGGCATATATAGGTGCTAATAATCTTTTTTGATGACATGGTAAAGCGGATATAACTCTTCATGGTTTTGTGTTTTGATATGTGATGGTATAACAGTTTATAACCTTTGATGTAAGAAACTTTTTGATATAAGAAACATAATGTATGTTTATTATGATTTGTCAAATAGCATTGGAAATATATATTAAAGCGATGCATATACATGTATTTAAAGTTTATGTATAAGACTGAGTAGAAATAGGCAATGCTATATTGCTAGAAGTCATCAAAATTTGTAATTGTGTCGATATGCCTGATGATGGGCAAGGTGTGGAATTTGATATATTATAAGACGACGTTTGCGTAGTCGTTTTGTAGTCAGTGATAATGTTCAAGTTAAATGATTTTTGCGGTATTATTGTGTTTGATTTTTGCAGTAAACTGAACAGAAATTAATGTATGTTTTGAGGTTGTAATGGAGGCAGATGTAGAGGCAACATTGTGTGTTGCGCTGATGTGGGTTACGCAGTTGCTTTTAATGCGCTACCAGTTGCTTGACTGACGGAATTTGACAATATGTACGTCTACACTGGTGGTTACATAGACATAAACCCAAAGAG